GAATCACCATTTGCTATATAGAGCAAGTTGTTTACATATTTAGAGCTCATGATGCATGGCATGTAAAGAATTTATGTAGCAGTGAAACTTCTTTCCTTTGCCTAGAATGCTGAATGCATTTTGATACTCTTTTATATTTTGCTAGCAGTTTCTACTATGTCACTACAAGGCTCTTGCCCACCAGCCTGTATTTGCATCAGTGAGCCTGAGGCAAAAAAAAAAAAAAAAAAAAAAAATGGCAGTCACAGCAATTCCCAGCATCAGGTCCATGTGATACCAATGGCCCCTCTTTTTTTCCATAGTGGCTAAATAAGGCTGTGACCTAGGATGGTGCTCACTCCAGCAGGGGCCCACCATGCGTGGGCAGCAAGCACCACCAGGTCCAAACACAGGAAGTTTACAGCATATTGAGGAGGAGGATTCACCCTGGAAAAATAGTGCCTAGACAGCCACCCAAAGCATCCCTCTTGGGATCCTTGCCCCCAAGTCTCCTGCATCTGTCCCCTGGTGACCACATCGTTTCACCTGATAGCATAGCTCAGAACCCTATAGAAAGAATTAATTGGATTAGGACCTCAGGGTCCGGGTAGCTTGGACCTGCCTCTCCACCTGCACTGTGGAAATGGGAGGCTAAGGGGCTACTGCTGGCTTCTTAGGCTGATACTGACTCTGCACTGATATCCTAAAGAGACGCTGAGGTCTACCTGGGCAGTTTCTCATGAGCTTCCACATTGATGACAGTTTGATTTCTAAGACTGAGAACAAGGATCAAATGAGGAGCAAACCGAGAAGTTTACTATTTATATAACTAAATTGAGAGCCCCTCCCAACAGAAGTCCTGTACTTTGCCTAAAGGGGAAAGTGGAAGAGGTCAGAAAAGGTCACCAGCTCATGATCCCTTCCTCCTTAGGTTTCCTGGACTCCACAGAGCCAGGCAAGTTGGCAAAAAGAGCAGACACCAAGCCCTACAAAGTAGGATAAGCAGCTCTCTAAGAAACGAGAACAGAAACATGTGCATCTGCATCCCCTGTCTTGACATTTGAAGTCTTGTACCTGCCAGGAGTTCTTCAACCTTGATGCTCCAGATATGACTGTTCTTGGGTAAACTGTCCAGTGCTAAGATTTTTTCTCTTGTTATACACTGGATACTCTAGGAGAGAAGAGGCAACAGAGGTAAGAATCTGAATCAGCAAGGGTTGTCAGCTGGTGACAACTTTACGTTGGAAATTTGCAATGACAGTGTATTTACCCTGAAGAATAACTGGAATGACCTGAACCCAAGTGGCATCTCTTTGAAGGTTCATTTACATCAAGAGATGTGAAGAGATCCGAGTTCAGTACCGCAAGTTTGCTTTAGTCCAGTACACCCATTGGAAGGGCCACCTGCAACCTGTTCAAGCAGTTCACAGAAAGCTTCCTGAGTAACTCATGCAGCGGTCATTCTGCACACAGACCTTGCAATACAGAAACAACCTGTAAGGTCTTGGCCTTTCCCCCACCAAGTCACATAGGGTTCAGGTGACCCGACGAAGTAGCTATGAGAGTCGCCTTCATTTCCCTGTGAGAAGCGGGCCCAGGGAAGGCCAATGACTTGTACACAGCGCCTATCTAACCCAGGGCTGGGAAGGGATTCAGTGACTCAGTGACAATGGACTCCCAAGTCTTTGTTTCCAGATAGGGCCTCAAAATGGAACCCAGACTGGCTTCAAACTCACAGCGCTCCTCCTGCTTCAGCCTACCGAGTAGCTGGGATGGCATGCATGTGCCACAAAGCCTGCAAAAGCCTCTTTATTGTTTTGTTTTTACGAAGAAGTTAAATGAGGCCCAGAAAGTGGCAATGGGTGGCCCACTGTCACACAGCGCGCCAGGGCTAACCTCCTACACCTGATTCTGCCTCTGGGGCTTGTCCCCTTAGTGCAGGGCCAGGCACAGTGACTTGGGCCATGGGCTGGGTAGTGGGTATGGAAAGGGCTGAGACAGGCCCTGGCAAGACCAGCTCCTCAGGCCAGGGAGGAGATGGGCAGCCTGCAGTGCCAGTTGGAGGATCCTGACTGAGGAAGCCAAGGCCGAAGGGAGGAGGAACCTAGCCTGGCTCTCAAAGCTGGTCCTGGCCACAATGCGGGGTGGGGCTTCATTTTCCAGACTCTCCAGTGTCCCACACCAATACCACTGCCCTTCCCAAGATGCAGGGCAGCTGGCTCAGCCCAGAAGCTCTGAGCTGTGTCCCCATACCTGGTGCTACCCGGGACTGAAGGCCACCCTCAGTGACACAGAACACAGCCTGCATCCAGGTCCTTGAGGGGCTATGAAGGCCATACCTCTGTCCACCCCTCCAGCCCCTATTTGTCCCATTCACACCTTGTTCCAGGCCCTGGCCACCAGGACTTGGCAAACGCTATCCCCTTGAAGCCAATCATTGGGCCATGCCACGTCAAGCCTGGGGCATCAGACCAGAGGCCCAGGGCTGGGCAGGGAGGCCCAGCCGAGGCGGCCAACACCGAGCAGATGGGATGCAAAGCCCTTCAACACCTATGGAGTATGTGGCTTTGCTTGGCACCTGGAAGCAAATGACAGACACCTCTGCTCTCAGACTCCCAAGCACCTGGACTTATGCTGGCCCTCCATTGTGCATCATCTCCTGGCTGTCCTCCCCATATCCCCACACTGTAACCTTGGTCCTTGTCACAGCTTTGCTGGTAGCAGCCCGGGCAGTAGGACCCCAGGGAAGTGGCTCTAGCACCCAGCTTCCTCCCTGAGCCCCTGCCAGGTGTTCAGTCCAGCAGAGGAACAGGCTGGTGACAGTTCAGCCTCAGAGCAAGGCACCCAGGACGGATACCTGACCCCATGGCAGGGCAGTCAGGGGTGGCTTTCTAAGGCTAATGCTTGTGTTGTTCAGATTCAACTCACACCCGTGGGTGACAGCACTCTGTGGGTACCAGGTCACTGAAGAACAAGGTCAGGAGTCTGCAGGAGTCTGCAGGAGTCTGCAAGAAGGCATCAGACACAGCTGCCACAACAGTGCGGGGCTAATGAGACCAATCTGGGACTGAGGGAGTCCAAGAAGGCTTACCTGCAGGTGAGCAAAAAGAAATTAACTCACAGAACATCTTAATTGTTTATGTCCCAACCCCCCTCTCTCCCCCAACTCTAGATCCCTCCCATTTGGAAAAGATCTAGCTCTCTTTTTCTCACTGACTACCTTCCGCCCTTTCTTTTTTCTTTTTCTTTTCTTTTTTCTTTTTTTTGGAGACAGGGCCTCACTCTGCAGTCTAGGCTAGTCTCAGACTCACAGTGATCCTCCTGCTTCAGCCTCCCAAGTGCTGGCATCACAGGTGTGTGCCACCATGCCCAGCTCTTTTTTTTTTTCTATAAACATTATGTACTACAAACATGAACTAATTGAAAAAAATTAAGTTACAGTATGCAAGAGGAAGAAAAAAGAGAGAGAGAGAAGGCGAGCCCAACAACAAGGGCGGAGGCTGGGCATGCTGAAGGCAGGAGGCTGAGGTTGTGCTAGGCATTGGACACAGGTTTGAGCCTGGGCCCAGCAGGTGATAGCATTGGAGGAACAAGGGAGGGATTGAGCACAGGGCTGGGGAAGGGGACTGGCGAGAAGAGACTGAAGGGACCCTCCACTGCCAGGAAGCCCGGCCAGCAGAGCAGGGCACTGGGCCAGGCCGCCTGCTGACTGGGGCCTTGTGGGCCAGCTCAGCACTCTGTCCCCCACCCCCACCACTGAAACTCTCTGCAGGAGGTCAGGTGGCAGCCACAGCTGGGACCAGAGCCTTCCATGCTCAGGGTGGCAGTGAACGCCCGCCCAGGCTGTCCGAGATCGGCAGCTGCTCTGGGACCTGCAACAAGCCTGGATGAGCTGGCGAGGTTGGTGCCAGCGAGCGGGTCCAAAGGGGAAGGGGTCCTCCTAATCATAGCGTGGGTGACCCCAGCTGGGGGTGGGGGGCAGGCACCTGCCCCGGTGGGTGAAAGTCGGACTGCTGGGACACTGAACTGTCCCCCACCAGCTGGGGCGAACGGCCACTTCGGAGCCTCACCCCTGGGCCCGGCTCTGCCCTGGGCACAGTGCATTCCAGGAATGGGGCTCAGCACCCACTCAGCCCCTGCGGCGGGCTCAGAGGCACGCCCACCTCTTTCTCCCGTCCCCGGAGCAAGGACGTGGCCCGTCCTGGTGGCTCCATGGACGCGTCCTGCAGGTATGGAGGAGGGCCGGGTGCCATGAGACGGGCGCAGGCTGCCACCTTCTGGTGGCCGCTCGTGCTGCTGTCCGGGCTGCGCGCTACAGAACAGGGAGCCTTCGAAGAGGCGTCCTTCTACTATGGAACCTTCCCGCCTGGTATGTGCGGCCCCTGCAGGCTGCTGCTCTGGCTGTGTGTCCGTCCGTCGGTCTGCTCGTGTCTCTGGCCTGCTTTCCCTTGGCTGATGTGCCAGCCCTTTTGGTGGTCTACTTCTTTGCTGTAGGATGATGTACCTTCATGGGGTTGTTCTAAAAGTAAAAACAAGAAACCAAGGGCGCGCGCTGGGAATCGCACTCAGCTGCTTGGGAGGCTGGGACATGAGAAGCCCAGGTTTGGGGCCAGCCTGGGCCATTCATAAAAAAGGGTCGGGTGTGGGGCTGTAGCCCTGGCTCCCATCCCCACAGAGTTTTCGCAGTTCCTACTCAGTGCTAGACAGGAATGAGCGCTGAGTATACAGCAAGCGAAAGCAGCGCAACTCCCCGACCTGCTCTGCTCTCAGGGGCCCAGCTTGGGGTCTCCACCTACAGGCTTTTCCTGGGGCGTGGGCAGCTCCGCTTTCCAGACAGAGGGTGCCTGGGATGAGGACGGGAAGGGGCCCAGCATCTGGGACGACTTCACGCACAGCGGGAAGGGACACGTGCTCCGGGGTGAGACAGCGGACTCGGCCTGTGACGGCTACTACAAGGCCCAGGTGAGCGTGGAGAGCGAGTGCGCATGTCAGTGCGCCTGCGCATGCGCAGGAGAGATGCTAAAGGTTCCACGTGGCGTGATCGCCCCTGTGCAGCGCAAAGGTGCAGGTGCCAGGACGCTAGCGGAAGCGTGGCAGCCTGGACCAGGGCCCCAGTCCTGCAATAGGGCTGTCGAGCCAGTACCACCACCCCCCGGCCTGAGACTCGCCCCCTGTGGAGAAATGGGACCTGCTTGGCCTCAGCACCCACTTTCTCCTTGGACTCACTCCTTGGGGAATTTTTCACCCATGCTCCCTTGTCGAAGTACCTCCATATCCGCATCCTACATAACTCTGGGCTGCAGGTGGTGTATCCCAGCTCCATAGCGCAGAGACAGGGCTCCCTCACCCGCTCAGAGCCACCCACGGGCGCTATGAGCCCGACACCCCGCACATCCCTCCTCCGCATCCCAGCCGACCGCCTGGCTGTCCAACCCGGCAGGAGGACATCCTGCTGCTGAGGGAGCTGCATGTCTGCCACTACCGCTTCTCCCTGTCCTGGCCCCGGCTGCTGCCCACGGGCGTCCGAGGTGAGCACTGCTCCTCCAGAGACACCGGGCTTGGCCAGCGGTGCCCCCCACAGCCGGCACGGCAGGTGGGGTGCAGGGGGTCATGTGCTGTCCAGCCTGCAAAGCCCAGGACCCCATGATGCAGCCACGGACCTTTCCTCTGGGGTACCCTTTTCTCCCACAGCCGAGCAGGTGAACGAGAAAGGGATCAAGTTCTACAGCGACTTCATCGACGCCCTCTTGAGGAGCAACGTCACCCCCATCGTGACCCTGCACCACTGGGACCTGCCGCAAGTGAGGCGCAGGGGGAGGAGGCGGAGACCCCAAGGTATGGGCGGGTGGAGAAACCCTAATTCACGCAGAGCTGTCTGTCAGTGGGACCTGCGACCTGGGAAGGACGGGAATTTATTCTGCAGTTCCAGGTGCTGGGAAAGCCACAGCCCAGGCGCCCCAGGAGCAGGGTCTGTCTGTGGCCACAAGATGGCGCATTGACCTCTGTCTTCTGTGGGAAAGGACGCTGGTCCCCGCCCCCAGAGGCAGAAGCCAGAGGGATGGAAAGTGCGATGACACCTAAAGCCCTGGTGAAGAGGGAGCCCCCATGATTAAGCACCCAAGGGCAGACCTCTTAGCCTGGGTACAGTGGGGACTAAACTCTCACCTGAATTTAGGGAACAGGTACCTCGAGCCACAGTACTTACGCACTGCGGGTCACACTAGTTGATCTGTGCTAAGTGCAGGGTGTGGATCCCGATGGTTTCCACACCATTTGGCATTAAAACAAAGTCCGAAAGCTACTAAGAAGTACCTTCGTCCTCTTCCTTGTGCAAGGGTCGGAACCAGAGCCCCATCCCTGCTAGGTTAGGGATGGAGAGCAGACCTCCCTCCCTAGCCCACGAAACACCTTGGACTTGCTCGGTGACAGGGCGTGCACACATTAGTTTGTTCTAATGATGATGTCCAGCTTCTTTCCCATGTGTTGGTGGGGGTATCCAGAGCCTTCACAAACGCCCCCAGGCCCAGCTGCAAAATCTCAGCAGGTGCATGTTCACCATGCTTGGTGAGGCCCCACAGCAGACACAGGAAAGCCAAAGGCAGAGTGCCATGCTCTGGGGCAGATGGGACAGGGTACAGGACTGGAGAGGTCAGAGGACGAAGCTGGGTTTCATTGAGATGTCCAGGAGCAGCTTTCTGAAGATGAAGGCTTGGGCAGTAGGGGAGGAAAGCACAGTGGCTGGAAGGAGGCTGGGCAGGCGATTTGGTTGGAGCTGAGGAGCCAACAGAGGTGGGGGAGGCTGGTGCCTTCGGGAGCAGCTTGGGGCCAAGCTCAGGTGACTGGGACTGGGGCTCACTTTGGGGGCCACTAAGCAGGGTGGGGCCGGGGGATAGGGCAGGCTTTAGGGAAAGAAATAGAAACCTCTTCCAGTTGCCACTCTCCCACCCCTAGAGACCCCAGCCCACATAGTCACTGCACAGAAGCCTTGAGCCCGACGCATGTGCAGAGCCCACCCCACTGCACAGCAAACCGGCTTCGGTCAGCTCTTAGATCCTTTCCACCCAGGGCCGGGTCTCCTCTCTTCACAGCGTATATATTACAGCTGCTTTTCCCAGAATCAGCCTTCTCCCTGGGCATTTTGTTTTTGGAAACAGGGTCTTGCTATGTACCCCAAGCCAGCTTCAGAACTCACAGTAATACTTCTGCTTCAGAACTCACAGTGATCCTCCTGCTTCGGCCTCCTGAGTGCTGGGATTATATGCTAAGCAAGCACTCTGCCATTGAACTACATCTCAGTCCTTATTTTTCGAGACAGGGTCTTACTAAATTGCCCTGGCTGGCCCTGAATTTGTGATAATCAGCCTCTTGAATAGCTGGGATTACAAACATGTAGCAACATTCCTGGCATTTAGTATTCTTTTTATTTTGATGCTAAGCGTGTGCTGCACCATTAGCCACACCCCTAGGTCCCTAGCTCCCCTTTAAATTGTTTGAAGGCTCCCATCTGGTCTTGGGTCCTTGCTCCCTGTTCCTGAGCAGGGCCCCCTAAAAACTGCCCCCCCCCCACTGGCATTGCTGTTTCTCCCACATGTGTGGCCGGCTGGCCCCAGACATTCCTGGGTGCCCACTTCTCTGTTGGCAGCTGCTCCAGGACCGATTCGGTGGGTGGCAGAATGCCAGCATGGCCAGTTTCTTCCGGGACTACGCTGACCTGTGCTTCGAGGTCTTCGGGGACCGTGTAAAGCACTGGATCACATTCAGCGACCCTCGGGTACATGCATCATCTCTCAGAGGGGGAGCCCTGCACAGTTTTGCGCTGCTCACAGGTCCTGCAGTCCCCACTTGCTGTCTCCACAGGCCATGGTAGAAAAGGGCTATGAGACGGGTGAGCATGCACCAGGCCTGCGGCTGCATGGTACCGGCCTATACCAGGCGGCACACCACATCCTCCAGGTAAGTGGCCCGACACCTGTGTGGCCAGCCTGGCCTCGGTGTCTGCCAACTGCTCAGGGCCTAGGTCACCATGCATAAGTAGAACAGTGGTGAAGTTAGGAGTGGCTGGCTGTGGACCCCAGCTGCGGGAGGGGACCACTGGGAAGCAGCACTGCAGAGCCTGACACCTTGCAGGGCCTGGAAGTGACTCTGCGAAGCTGCCTAGAGACAGGGGTCTCTTAGTGCAGAAGGCGGACGGTCTGTTCAAACTGGTCAGCCAGGGGCTCCGAGGGCTCATCAGACCCTAACATTCTCACTGGGGAGAGGGCTTTCTCCCTTTGGCTTCTCTTTGAGGTCTTTTGTTTGAGATGGGGTCCAGGCTGGCCTTGAACTCATTGTGTAGTCCAGGCTGGCCTTGAACACCTGTCGATCTTCCTGCCTCAGCCTCTAGAGTGCTGGGATTACAGGTGTGTACCACCACCTTGGGCTGGTTTAAGATTTTTTAAACTGAGTATTTAAGGGCAGAATTCTGACGACATCTGTAGTAATGAACTTAGAGACTTTTCAGACTTTCACTGTAAGAGCTGGTTAAATGTGACTCCCGTGTAGTGACATCCCCAGGGTTCATTATAGCTCTCTCGTTGGTTACTGCTGGCTGGCAGAAGGGAGGTGAGGTGATCATTAAGGGTTCTGAGGAGTCACAGCACCCCCAGTTTCTATAGCCTTGCAATCATCAGTTAAATCAGTGTTAATCAGCAAGGGTCACAGTCATGCTGGCAGGCTGGTGCATACCTACAATCCAGCACTCAGGATGATGACGCAGGAGGAACTCCACAGGTTGGAGGACGCCTGAGTCACATAGTAAGTTTAAGGCTAGCCTAGACCTCATAGCGAGTCCCTGTCTCAAACAAACCAAGTATCAGAATCACACGCAGGCCTGATGAAAACTCTTCGCTGGGCTGCACCCAGAGCTCTGATGGAGTCCTGGCCAAGGCCCAGGGAATTCCTAACCAGGTTCCCAGAGAGGAACCGCTGCCCCAGCTCGCTTCTGTGCTGGCCTTTGGCATGGGCTGGAAGGCAGGCTATCTGGCCACAGGGGCAGAACAGGACAGCAAGTGGCCTCCTTGCCTTCCACCCCATTTCTCACATACCCATTGGACATTCTCCTCGCTTCCCAACACCTGTGGGAAAAGACCTACAGAAAACCAGGAAAGAAGGACGGTAGCAAAAACCCTATTAGCAAAAATCAAGTCGTTTGTGGCAGGCTTACACCAAGCCTCCCCTACGATACCAAGACAGTCAAGTTCTTACTGCAGAAGTTGGAGAAAGGGAGGCTGCAGGTCAGTCATAATAATAAGCCGGGCTTAGGGCACTGGTGGGCGTGACACGGGACCTCCAGTGCAGGGAGGGGTAGGAAGGGCACCGCAGGGTGAAGGAGAATAGACATGAGTGAGCCAGGGGCTCGTGGTTAATTCCCGCCTCTCCTACAGGCCCATGCGCAAGCCTGGCATTTGTATGACAGCAGGTGGCGCAGCCGACAGCAAGGTGAGGCTAGACCGCCCCATGGGGCCAGGGCAGGGCCTGGGGCTGGGGCTGGGGCCACTTCCTGCCCCCTTGTCCTCTCCCCTCTACGAAGGCCTGGTGGGGATTTCTCTGAACTGTGACTGGGGGGAACCTGTAGACGTCAGCAACCCCAGGGACGTCGAGGCTGCCGAGCGGTATCTGCAGTTCTCCCTGGGCTGGTTCGCCAACCCCATCTATGCCGGCGACTACCCCCACGTCATGAAGGAACGCATTGGTGAGCGAGTCGTATTTCCTTGTGGTTGTGGAGTTTTTGAGACAGGCTCTCGCTGTGTAGCCCAGGCTGGCTCCAGACTCGCAGCAATCTTCCTGCCTCAGCCTCCTGAGCACTGGGTTTATAGGTACGTGCCACCACATTAGGCCACGTTTGCTATTTTAATTTCATCTAAATAGACTGTAATTTCATCTAAACAGAATGTACATACAAATAGAATGTACATATGCGCTAGATATTGTGTGGTGGTTTGGTACATGTGTAACATGGAAATTTGACACTGTGTAACATGGAAATTTGACACTGTGTAACATGGAAATCATTTTAAACGTATCTCCCATTTTACACTTCCAGGCTGGGGTGTAGTTTGGTAATGGAGTACTTTGTCTAGCATGTGGCAAGCCCTGGGTCCAATCTCCTTGCTGTAAAAAATAATAAGTTAAATCTTATTTCTTTATGATAGCCAGGTGTGGCAGTGTCACTGGGTAATCTTCTAAAAATGGCTTGCCATGTAAGCTTTGTTGTTCTGGAGTAATTATGTCTCTCTCTGAAGTTGGTTTCCAGGTTCTTCTTAAGGAATGGAATGAAAAATGGTAACAAAGTTTATTTGAAACATTAAAAATGAAGAGTAGGGGAGAACCTGACTCTGCAGAGTGAGCTTGGGCCCAATAAGATGGGGAAAAAGCAAGATAAACACCCCGTTGAGGACAGGGCACAGAGAGGGCTGTGGCGAGGAAAGGTGTCCGTGTGCTTTTACCCTGTCCAAATCTGGAGAAAATGGTGAGAACTTCTACATCCGGGTCCTGAGAGGCAGTGCTAGAATAATCCTACCTCTCTTGGGGGGACATCAGGTCCAGGCTGTCATCCTACTGAAAACCTGCTTGAGGTCTCAAAAGAAGTCCACATGCGGGCTGTCTGGGAACTGTTGTGTGTGTGCCTGGGATCTTGTCACTAACGGTTTATACCTGCTTCCCCTGTCAGTCTCACCGTGCCCTAATCTCCTGCCTCAGTGGCACACATTCATAACCCCAGCGCTCTAGGAGGCTGAGACAGGAGGAGTACAGTGAGTTGAAGGCCAGGCTGAACTGGTGAGCCTGGTGAGGCCCTGTCTCAAAAATCAAATGAAAGGCCAAAGCTGTACCTTCCACGCAACTTTCTGAAGTCCAACTTTCATGTCACCGTGCCAGTGCATCCAGGGAGCGTAAGACACAGGCTCCATCAAGTTCTCCTTTGTCTCACAGGAACAAAGAGCAGGGAACAGGGCCTGGACCTGTCTAGGCTGCCTGCATTCTCGCGCCAGGAGAAAAGCTACATCCGAGGCACCTCTGACTTCCTGGGCCTGGGTCACTTCACCACGCGCTACATCACCGAGCGGAAGTTCCCCTCCCGCCAGGGGCCCAGCTACCAGAACGACCAGGACTTGGTAGAATTTGTTGACCCAGACTGGCCAGATCCGGGGTCTCCAGGCCTCTGCTCCGTGCCATGGGGTTTCAGGCGGCTCCTCCATTTTGCTCAGGTGCTCATCAGTCAGCTACGTTGGGACCTTAGCTCTCAGCTCACTGCTCACAGTGTGGCCCCGGGGCTCCTGGAAAGTCAGTGACATGGTGACCACAGCCATGCCTCCTTCAGGAGCTGCCCAGCACAGGCCCCGCACACAGACACCTCTGGGAAGGGCCACCACTGCTGAGGGAGCCTGAGGCACCCTGCTGCCCCTCACCTGATGTGGGACACATGGGAAAGAGCAGGACCAGAGTGCACTTTCCAACAGTGCTACTCACTGAAAAATACCTTTTCATATAAACTTGCCTCCTTGGGTTGGGGACAGAGCTCAGAGGCACAGTGCCTACCAGGCAAGCGTGATGCCCTGAGTTCAATTCCTGGTATCCCCCTCCAAAAAGAAAAACAAACTTGCTTCCTGGGTACACTCATCTCTAAATAAATGTTAACTAGCACAAAGTATATGCAAATATATACTTGATTTGAATGTGGCAGCTTTAGCTGGGAGTGGTGGTACATACTTGTAAATCCAGCACTCAGAAGGCTGAGGCAGGAGGCCACACCCTGGGCTGTAAGTGAAATTCAAGGTTGGACTGGGTTGGGTTACACAGCCAGGCCTGTCTCAAAATACCAAAAAACAAAAAACCATGGCAACCTGTAATACACACTGCCACGTGAGCTCCGACCCATAAACTCACTTATACATCAGAATGTTTTTTTCCTTAAAATGGGGTTTTGCTATGTAGCCCAGGCTGGCCTTGAACTCCCAATGATCCTCCTGTCTCAGCCTCCCAAGCACTGGAATTATGGGTGTCACTGTAACTAGTTATATCAGAATTTTAAAAAATATCTCTTACGCTCACTTTTAGACTCAATATGGCAATCCTCCCATATATGTGACAGAAAATGGAGCAGTGCAGAGATTGTACTGCACACATTTATGTGATGAGTGGAGAATTCACTACCTTAAAGGGTACATCAATGAAATGTTGAAAGGTGAGACATAAACCAAGATCATATTTTTCTAATAGCAACACCATTTAAAGTTGCTACCACCTTCACAATATTGTTCTCATAAAAACACTCAACATGGAACACAATGTCTTCCCAGCTCTGAAAGACGGTGTCGATGTGAGAGGGTACACGTGCTGGTCCCTGCTGGACCAGTTTGAATGGGACAAGGGCTACACACACAGGTACGGACTGTACCACGTGGCTTTCGCCATCAGAAGCAAGCCTCGCTACCCCAAGGCTTCGGCTCGCTTCTATAAGAAGATCATTGCGGCCAACGGGTTTCCTGGGCGCAGACAGGTAGGACCAATTATCCGTGCCACACTCAAGGCTCTGAAGGAGCTTGGCACTGGGCGCACAGCGTGTCCAGCGAGCACCTGTCCTCTTCCCTTCGTCAAACCCCACTTGGTCCCCACCACGCACACAACAAAGGATGTGCCTGGATCCTGGGGAACTGTCCTGCTCTAGGGAACTGTAAGGCACGATCAAGAGCCATCTCAAGGTAGAAGCTATTCCAGATGGGTCCGAATGCGAACATGCAGCCGGCATACCAGCTGGGTGTGACGGTGCACTGTAGTTACAGCACTGGGAAGGCTGAGACAGGAGGGTCCCTGTAAGTCTGAAGTCAGGCTGAGCTACACAGTGAGACTTGGTGTCAAAAAGCAAAAACCAGTAAGATCAGTTAAATAAAGTAAATGTATTATGACTGTCTTTTTTTTTTCTTTTTCTTTTTTTTTAAGACAGGGTCTTGCCATGTAGTCCAGGCTGGACTTGAACTTGCAATCCTCCTGCCTCAGCCTCCCAACTGCTGAGACAACAGGCATGGGGCACCATTCCTGCCTTCTTTTTATTTCTTTTCTGGTTTTTGAGGCAAGGTCTTGCCATGTAGTCCAAGATGCCCTGGCACTCACTAGATAGCCCAGGCTGGCCTCAAACTTTTGGCAATTTTTCTGCCTCAGCCTCTCAAGTGCTGGGATTATAGGCATGTGCTACCACACCCAGCTTTTCTTGTCTTTTCTTTCTTTTTTAAGACAGGGTTTCACTGTGTAGTTCAAGCTGACCTGGAACTCATGGCAATCCTGCCTCAGCCTCCCACATGCTGGGATGACAGGCACTATACCCAGCCATTCTCATGAACACTGAGGCGCGGGCCAACCATACTCAGCAAAAAGTATTTATTATGCCCTGCATTTATTTAAAAACTAACTTCAGTCACCCTAAGACAATAGCCCTTACCTAGTGGGTCTTTATTAGGTGCGAAGCTGGCACCAGGAAGCTTTGGAAACTTGCTTTGTCAATGACCAAATGCATGCTACAGGTGAGTACGAGCTCATTCTTTCTTTTGATGACTAAACTATAATACAAATGTACTATTTTACCAAAACATACACTTACCAGAAGTCAGTGCCTCAAACCACTTACAATTAAAAATGCATTTTTTTTCTTTACTGTGAAACAATGTTGAACTGATCTGTAAGTACTTTAGATATAAAAAAGACACTCACCATAAAGAAGTATTTGAATTCCGCTAATTCTGTTCTTCCCGAATCACACTGTGGCTTTACGTACCAAGCTCTGTGGGTAAAGTGGGCTGAGGGAGAGGGGATGAAAAGGGCTAAGGCTACTCCTGCTCCTCTCCTGGCTCGCTGCAGCACCCGCCTGCAGCAGCACCGGGCCTAAGTATCACATAACCCAGCGCAGCCAGCATCAGGCAGAACCGGCCAGAGTGGAGCCTGGCTGTGCACACCTGACCCTCGGCTCCCTGGGATGGGGAGGCGGCAGGGTCACACGTTTGAGCCCAGCCCAGGCAACTAAGCAACTTGATGAGACGCTGTCTCAAAATAAAGGCTGAGGCTATGGCTCAGTGAAAAGGCTCTGGGTTCACCCCAGAACTGAAAAAACAAAAGCTAAGATGTGTCATTTGTTTCTCTGAATTGTATCTTTCTCTATAATGACAATCAGAAATTCTTTCCTTTTTAATGAGGTATGGTGATGCACACCTGTAATCTCAGCACTCGGGAGGCTGAGGCAGGAGGGTTGCCATGAGTTCAAGGCCAGCCTGAGCTAGTGGGTTCAAGGGAGACCCTGTCTCAAAAAACCACACACACATACCAAAAAAAAAAAAAAAAAAAAAAAAAAAAAAAAAAATAAGGCAATGTGAATGGCATATATGCCACTGAACCAATATAAAATTACTGTGGTCCCCACGTGGAACTAACTGGCAGTGTCTGAGCTCCACCAGGACACAGCCTGTGCATGACCTGCCTCAGGAACCAGGTGCCCAGGGCCCCTGAGAGGTGGCACCAGTGAGGTGCTGAGTCCCCGCACCCAGCACTGTCAGGGGTGTGAGGGGCTTTGCAGGGTCTTTCCTTCACGAATCCCCACCTAGCAGGACGGGAGCCATGAAAGGCATAGGCTGATGCCATGACGGACACACACGAAGCAGAAACACTTACGCACACTGAGACTTTATTACAGCACCAGTACAAGAGCTGAGTGGAGACACTCCTGTATTTTGTGAAATATTTTACACGCTCCACGCAGTCTTCTCAGTTGGAGGTGCTGGGATGGAAGCCAGGGCTGCGTGCAGCCAGGCAGGACACACCCCCACAGTCCCCTTCCGCAGGGCTGGCTGGGGCAGCATCGCCGTGCTCCCTGTAGCTTCTCTGGCCCTCCTCACCGTTACAGAGCCCCTGCTCGGCCACATGCGCCTGGCCTCGGAGATCGCGGTGCCCACCGTGTGTGCCGCCTGCGTGCTCATCACAGCCCTGCTCCTCACCCTGCTGCTGCGGCACCCGCGCTGAGCCAGCCGGAGGAGGCAGCCACACCCCAGGAGCTCTTCAGGCCTGGGTGCGATGCGGCAGGGCCCTGGGAGCCTGCTGTCTGTCCTTCCTCCCCTTCTGGATATGTGCTTGCATTTAAGATTAGAAAAGGAAAACAGTGTAAGTGAAATAAAAGGCACCTGTGACCCCGTGGCTCCTGAAGTTGATGCTGACGTCTGCCGTACATCACACACACTTTTTCACAAACAGGACTGAGTGTGCAGTTCTGTGACTTCAATGTTTTCATTTGAAGTGTGCCCCAAGACGGTATTGTTCAATACAATGTCTGCCAACTCAGCGCTGTCCTGGGAGAAGGCGGGCATCACTCCAGGGACAGTGACATTTTCAGGCTGTAGATCTCTTAGCCCATTTGGAGAAAGTACTGGGTAAGCACGGAAAGAATGAGTGTGCCTACTTCCCTGAGATCCACTTTCTATAAATTCAGTTCACTACAGGCTGGGTGTGGTGCACACCCACAGTCCCTGTATGCAAGAGGCTGAGACAGGAAGATCGCCCTTAGCTTGAGACCGCCCTGAGCTATATAACAAGATTAAGGCCAGCCCAAAAGACATGACAAGACCCTGTCTCAAAAAAACAAAATAAATCCAATTCACTATGCCCAACGAGATAACACAAAGAAATACTATCGAATATTTATATAGATTAAAAATAAAATTAAGACAAAAAATAAATATTAGGTATTTACAAATAGGTAACCAGGTACATTTTTCTTCTAAATACAAGTCTATTTTATTCTTAATGCTAAAATGCCAACAGCAATCTCCATTTATTAGGGAACAAAACAGCTTACAAAGCAACAGTCAAGTCATACACATTATTTGATTCCATTTAGGTTTCAGAAAAAAGTAAGAGTAGGAATATCATTTTATTAGTTCCTTTGGTTAATGCTAGCTCTAATCAGATTTTAATGCGTGTTTACACCTGGGCCTTCATTCTGCAAATGTTCTGTTGCTGCAGTGACCACACGGGAGTGTATCTGTTTCCATACTGACTCTCCCGAGCGTCCCTAGGGCAGCTGTCATTGCAAGCAATCATTTGCTCTTTGTGTGTGTGTGTGTGTGTGTGTGTGTGTGCGCGCGCGTGTATCTGAGACAGGGTCTCAAAATATAGCTAACGCTGCTGTCAAGCTCACTCCAGTCCTCCTCCCTCAGCCTCCTGGTGCTGGGGTTACAGGAATGCGCCACCACACTCAGTAAACAGTCATTTCTTGTACTGAATATATTTGATAAATTTGGTATTTCCTGCTCTATTACCTTATAAAAGTTAACCAAAAATTCAATTTTTAGTCACCCTGCATGTAAATGATGGCTCACTAGGCTAGGGCTCCACCATTGAGCTGTGACCTCAGCCTTTTTTATTTCGAGGCTGTGATTCACTGAATTACCCTCGATGGCCTCTAGCAGGCCCTGCCAAGTCCACCTCAAAATGTTTTTAATAAAACTTCCCCCTCAGTGTCACAGTGCTATTTGTTCTGGATTCTTCTGCGCCACAATTTTGAAATCCAGCTCTTTCTACTGTACAGATTTAAAATGCAAAGGAATTACCCCCATTTCAAAAAAAATGTTTTTCATCTCCATATGACTAAACTTATCTAATAGTCTGACTACAACAGGTAGAAAATTAGAGCTGCACAGCTCAGTATGATGTGGTAAGCATGTGTTTACTGATTAATAATCCAAATTTTTTTAGTTTTTTATTTATTTATTTATTTATTTTATTTATTTATTTTTTGGTCTTTTTCCTTTTTATTGGTACCAGGGATCGAAGTCACGACTGCCTGCTTGCAAGGCAGGTGCTTATGCCGCTGAGCTAAATCCCCAGCCCCAGCTTTTTATTTTTTAATAACCAATATTGTTAATATAGCAAATCAACATTTAGAAATAACTAAAACAAAAGCTGGGCATGGTGGCGCATACCTGTAATCTCAGCTCTCAGGAGGCTGAGGCAAGAGGATCAAGAGTTGGAGGCCAGCCTGGACTACATAGCAAAACTGTATCAAGAAAGAGAGAGAGACAGAGAGAGAGAGAGAGAGAGAGAGAGAGAGATATGTGTCCTTAATATCCTAGGTGTCTTGGGAGAGAACACAGGGAACATAGAGAACACAGAGAGCCACGGCAGTGAGGGTGCCCAGGATCCTTTACTTGAAGTGCACCTGGCTGCAAGTGACCATGGTGATAAAAGACGTCTTTTCTTCCAGGCTCCCATTTAGGGTTAAGTCAGAAAAGTCTGTAAGAAGGAAGACAGTGTGATCAGAACTGCGTAATCCTGCCTGCTCTCCCACCATGTGTACTGCTTTTACGACAACGCAGTAATCTAAAGGTCACCTGAACAGCCCGGGTCCGCAACGCTAGGGAACCTGTTAGCAGTCAGCTGGGAAGAGTCATGTAAGTGTTAGCCCTCTGCAGGCACTTGGTACACAATTAAAACCCTAAAATTTTAGGAGATTTTGAAAAAAAGGTATTTGGGAATGTACTGCTTTGTTTTTTGCACTATGTCCACTAGGGTTAAACAACTGCCTTTAAAAAAAATAAACTGCCTTTCCCCACCTCTTAACAAGCATGTCACAGAAGAAATTCCACTTAGGATTTAAAGCCTGAGAGTTTGACACATACCCATTTTCCCTCCTGAAGGCTGTCTGCGTACTCAAAACAAGTGGGCCCCTCCCCATTCAGGTAAGAGCATGCCCATTTCTGGTCAACAGTGTGGTCCCCATTGCTCCCATCACTCTCACTCACTGTCGACCCTCTAGGGGACGCTCTCCCGGACCCCTTCTCCCCACCCCTTTAACTCCAATCATTATTCTTCTTCCATGGCAGCTCAAAGTGCACTTTCTCAAGCCCCTCTGCTTCAGATGTCAACTGTTCTACTCAACAGCATGATACAATTAGTTATATTGAAAAAGATAGTTTTTGACCGAAGTGTTAAGTCCAATAAAATAAAAAATCTAACTTCTTTGAGGTCAGTTGGAGATACATAGTGAGTTCAAGGCCAGCCTACACTACATGGACTTTGTCTCAGAAAGCAAAAAATTAAAAAATCTTCTAAATGCATCTTTAGCAAAAAATACATTATTAGCCTTTAATATTTATAGTGAAACCAGGCATGGTGGCACAATCCTACATCCCAGCCCTTGGGAGGCTGAGACAGGAGGAGCCCTGCAAGCAAGACTGAGGCCAGCCTGGACTGCACAGGGAGACCCTGCTTCAAACATACCAAGTTAAAAACAAATTACAACTAACTGCTTGGCATACACCCATAATTCCATTCAGGAGGCTGAGGCAGGAGGATTGCCATGAGTTCAAAACCAGCTGGACTACACAGTGAGTTCAGCCTAAACTACACAGCAACATCCTATCTTGAAAAACAAAATTACAACTAATGACAGATGTTTCTATGACACCTGAATCAAAACGTATCTGGGGAGAGACTGTTTTCTCTAAACAATTTGAAAAATACAATCAGTTAAATAGATTGTTATTTACATTCCTAGCAGTGGTGGATTACAATTCTATAAACCCCAACAAAAAGAATCTATCAAGGCAAACAATTAAGTGGGGTGGAGGGAGCCAACAACAGGACAATAACATGACAAGAATAAGTCAATACATATCAGTTATAACTATTCACCAATCAAAAGAAACAGACTAGCAAAATGAACTAAGAAGCAAGATCTGAGCCAGGGATTTAGCTGAGCGGCATAAGCACCTGCCGGGTAAGCATGAGGTCACAAGTTCAATCCCCAGTACCAAAAAAAAAAAAAAACCCAGCAAAATTCAACTGGGTGGGGTGGTGCATACCTCTAATCCCAGCAATTTGGGAGGTTGAGGCAGGAGGACTGTTGCAAGTTTGTGACCTGCCTGGGCTACAAAGTGAGCTCAAGGTCAACCTGAACTGCATAGAAAACCCCTGTCTCAAAATACACACACACACACACAACCAGCAAGATACAACATTATGCTGCATACAAGAAATACACTTAATTCAAAAGAAATTCATACACATAAAGTCAAAGGATGGAAAATACTCCATGTGACAGGAAACCAGAATAAAGCAGGAGTAGCTAGCTATTCTATTTGCAGAACAGGAAATTTCAAGTGGATTTCAGGCCAAAACTAATTAAGAAAGACAAAGGAGTTAACTACATCGTTGTAAAAGGAACAATCCAAGAGGAAGAGATGACAATCAAAAATATATATGCACCAAATACCAGCATACCCAGCCATATAAAACAAATATTAATGGACATGAAGAAATCAAATACATCCCTAGTGGTGGCTCATTAAGGCCTGTCCAAACTTCTTCCAAGGTTATCACACTCTCAATTTTCCTAGCATAAAAGTCATACTTTTTTTTAAGTACAGTTTACACCTACAGTTCAGGGCAATTATTTAAACTGGGTGCAAGAGCTATGGAATGATCCCTGCCAGGCAGATCTGGTTTCTTTCCTGTTGGGATAATCTGTCGGACAGACTGCAGACATCTTTACCAGGTTTGGGATAATTCAGGTGCTCCACCGGTGAGCTGTCACTCAGTTGCCAAACCGTTTTAACCTTTTTTTGACCACCGTTTATTTCTACTTTCCATTTCTGTGGCTTCTCACTGAGAAAAGAAGAAAAATTGTCAAGACACTACAACCAACAGTTGTTTCCTTCCTTCCTTCTACAGTCAGCAACGTCCTTATTCAATGAGCATCAAGGAAGAGGAGGCGACAATTCCCACCCTGCACAAGTACAAGCAGGGGTGGAGGCAACAAGAGCGACCATTCACAAGAGAGCCACTGCAGGCCAGGGGACAGCGGCAGGCAGGCAGGAGGCTGCAGAGATCACCAGAGTCTGTGCTGTGCGGGCAGGGGCACATGAAACAAGTCGGAAAAGCAGAGTCCCCAGCAAGGGAAGGCCGAGCCACAGTGCTGGCCGGGCAGCGTGCAGGGCGCACCTCGCTCAGAAGGGGAGCAGCGAGACCCGAGCAAGCAGCAGTGTGGAGAGGCCTGTCCTGGCGGGAACACCAGCGAGTGCTAGCCAGACCTGGATTTCACAACAAAATTTCAGCAGCAGCATAAATAAGAAAGGCAACGCAGACAGAACAGTGAAGAAAAGGCTTTTATCAGAGCCCAGGTATGAAATGAGGCAGATGTGAGGTACTAAGCGCCGATGATGTGAAAGTCTGGGGAAGGACAGAGTCAAGAGGGACGAAGGGAATCGGGAGATGGCGAGCACTTAAAGAGGAGACAGGGAGGGGCAGCAGGGAGTGGACCGAAAGTCCTGGGGTCCGCTCTGTGCAGCAGTGAGCACTGATGATGGTCACTTAAAAGAGGAAATAAAGGAGAAGGAAAAGGTTTGTGGGGGGGTAGGGGGCTCAGTTTGTTTTCTTTTTTTGCTTTGTTTTGTTTTTTGAGACAAAGTCTTGCTGTTTAGTTCAAGCTCCCTTGGATTCACTGGCTCAGCCGGCCTCAAACTCACAGCAATGCTTCTGCCTCAGCCTCCCAAGTACTGGGATCTCAGGCACGCAACCCCACACCAGCCTTGGTTTCTTTCCTGTTGGGATAATCTGTCAGACAGACTGCAGACATCTTTACCAGGTTTGTTTTCTTAAACTTTTTTTTTTAACTGACAAAACAGTTTATATTGTTTTTTGAGACAAACAAGGTCTCATCATGTAGTACAAGCTGGCCTCAAACTTGCAGCAACCCTCCTGCTTCTGCCTTGCAAGTGCTGGGATTATAGGTATATGTTGCCATGCCCAGCCTAAAATCAGTTTATACAAATGTGTCACCAAAATATAAACTATTTTAGGCCAGGCATGGTGGCACATGCTTGTAATCTCAGCACTTCGCAGGCTGAGGCAGAAAGAACAACACAGAATTGAGACTAACCTGGTTATAGTGAGTTCAATGCCAGCCTGAACACCACAGTGAGACCCTGTCTCAAAAAAAAAAAAAAAAAAAAGTAGCCAGGATCAAGACCAGCCTGGGATACAAAGTGAGTTAAAGGAGATCCTGCCTGAAACATAAACAGCAAATAAACAGGGGCAGTAGTGTAATAGTTTCAAGTCTCTCACACGTGGAGAGAAAATTCAAGGAGGCAGTCATGTGTGGCAGTCCCCAGCCATACCATCACCTTAGCCTCATGGTTTCCCGCCCCCAGCCACGATGGTTCTCTCACTTCTGCAGCCACACTCCTGGCCGTCTTTGCAGCATCCTGACTGTGTTCCTCCTATCTGTCATTTCCCCGGCTGCACATTCGCTTACATCTTATTCCATGAAAGAATTGCAAATTGAAAGCAACACAGAAGACTAGAGGCTCCCCGGTCTACAAAGAACAGGCACAAGCCTGAGAGAAGAATTAGGGGTATAGCCAGGCTACGGCTGCAGAGCCGGCCACAGAGTAAATTCCAGGGAACAGGCAGCTCGGGGCCACGAGGGCCCAAGGAGCACGGGCCCAAGGAGCACGGGCCCAAGGAGCACGGACCAAGGTCACCAGACCCACGGCTGGACTGCAAGTGCAGTCATGAAGCTGCTCACCTCTGATAGAAGCTTTTTACACAAGCTGGTCTGACTGGCAGTTGAAAAACATGTTGCTCATCAAGAGGATTTTGTTTATAGTATTTTATGCAGGATCTAAAAAAAGAGAGAAAAGAAACCCCAGGTTTTGGAAAAAAGAACCATTGGTGATAAAGGCTTTCTAACAGTCTAAGGTACAGGGAAACATTTTATTGGCTACCACAAACTACAACAAAAAGAGTGATTACAGAGCCACAGAGGTAAAAAGCAAACACGCACCCATCACCCTCACACAAAGACACACACAACATAGGTAAGGTTTTTTCTTTAAAACAAAATTTACTTCGCTTTGTAAAAGTTAGCAGTTAACATATTTTTCAGAAGTATAAAATATTATTTAATTTGAGCCCAAATAAAGGCTTCATTGAAAAGAAAGAAACATCAGAAAATACAAAAAGAGACAGAAAATGCAGACAAGCTTCATGGTTGTCAGCATCTGGGGAATTAATTCATTTATCTACAGATCTGCTAATGAAAAATCTTTTAGATTCTGTGAGTAAGAACAATTTCAAACTCTTCCCATCATATAACTGGGCAAACTGTCAATCTGGAAGAGACAGCGGGTGGCTTATTTCTAGGGAGATGCTGCACTCCTCATGTGAGTGACTCCAGTGAGACTTTTACCCACATGGTCAGAAGCTGGTTACACCAGTGCTGCCACCAGTCTCGGATGGGATTTGATTTCTCTCAGCTGTCACACGGATGACTTATCTGACTCAGGTTTAGAGGGACTGAGGAAGAGAAGAAGAGATTCCTACAAAGCACCTACTATGTGAGGTACCTTATACACATTCCTTCATCTAACCCTTGGAACAAACACGTCAAGGTATTAGAGCCTTTTAACCTGAGGAAAAAGACTTGGTGAGAAGAAACTTCTAAGGTCAGAAAGTGACACAGCCAAACCTGGTCCCTTTGAATCCAAAGCTTTTCCTTCCTCTGACCCTGACCCGCACTGCTGCTAACGTGAAGACAGACAGAGAGAATCAATGCCTTCTGGCCTAACTGGCAATAAAGCTAGACGCGTTCTGGCTGCTGGTTTTGGAAGAGAACACATTTCTGTGTCAGGAGACGAGAGAGACAGACTCACTGTGTTAAGGAAAACAGGAACTCGTGCTGAGGCTTGAGGAAAAGCATGCAGCTGACTGAGAGCTCCAGGATGTGGTGCAGTTTCTGGACGCGATGAACCTGCTCTTGTATCTCTACTAACGGAGAAATGAAGTATTCCTGGATTGAAAAAGTATAAGCAACACAGGTAGTTAAAGGATAAGGAGCATCTTGGGAAAGAAGACGGTTGTGGCCCCTGGATTATGCTTGACGGAAGGGAAGTAAGAACCAAAGAGGCCCCTGGACAGGAGTTAGCACCTGCCTGCACCCTTCCCTCCTTCAAAAGCGGCAGCATCAGTAAATGATGATACGTATTCTCAGGTGAAGGCAAATCGCAAAACCAGTTCACCAAAGGGCCCAGCTTTAGCTACCAGGAAGCTGAGCAAGTGTTCCAACAAGCTGCCCTTCTCATGTATGACTGTGAACTGTACACCCTTCTGGAAAAAAATCTGGCCATGTGTGCCAGTGCGCCGACATGCTTAGACACCTACTCTTATCCTGAGAATTCCTCCTGAGGAAGTAACCCGCACACACAGTGGCAGATCACAGCACCTGCCCACGCTCGCACTGATGCCACAGTGCGCGCCATGTGTTAAATCCTTCCGCTGGCGAGTCCCAAGCCCGGCACGATGGGCCCGTCAGTAACTGATAGAGGTCACTGTGGTGACCCCAGCAGGGAGCCCTCTAGAGGCAGTGACCATCAGAGAAGCTCTGAAGGAGCAAACACTCACACTGTGCGGAGCACAGCAGAGCAAAGGCTAAGAGCAGCCCAGAGGACCTGAGGCTGACCCTGAGCTGATACACTGAATACACTGAAGAACATGGCAAATACTTAGGACACCATCCCTCAAATATAGCAAACTAGCTCAGGAGAATATAAAACAAACCCCCCTTGCCGGGCAGCAGGCACCCCTGAGCAATTAGACAGGGGAGCTGTGTCACTGAGGGCGGTGGGGGCACTGAGCGGATGCGTCTCTCCTCTGTCTGACTGGGTGGTAACAATGATAGGGCACTGACTGTCTTACTGATGTTTCCTAGGACCTAGGACAGAGACTGGCACACGACAAGCACTTAACAACCGCACGCAGGATGGCTAAACACAATAAAAGCCAGTTTTAGAATAAAAATAAACTCACCAAATGATTCAAAGATGCAAGCTCCTGACCTATTAAAAAATATATACATACATATGTAAATAAACTTTAGGCATTGTCTATGACATGTTAAGGAACCTAGGTAAAAATTTTCATTGCTCATATATGAAAGAGATGGCCAAAAATAGTTCTTTACAACAGACAAATATTTCGGGTCAACAACAGCATAAATACATACAGTACTTGGCATGCTTCTTAATTTTTTAAGTTAGTAAAGGGACTCACTACAAAACTGATGAGTTGGCCTCTAATAGCACCGAGCATTGGATACTTAAAAAGGATCTCATTTCTGAGCTTCGGTATTCCCTATCCTTGGGAGGCTGAAGCAGGAGGACCTACAGTTTGAGGCCAACTTGAGCCAGGTAATGAGTTTAAGAGCAGCCTGGAGTAGATGACAACACTCTCACAAAAAAACCCAAAACTTTTTAATAAAACAGCATCTCACAAAAGGCCTTTTCTCAGTTATAGTGCTAACTTACAAAATCTCAAATGTCTGAACTAAAAGCAAGCAAAGAAAGACCCCTGCTGTATGTAATCTAGTATCCTTACTGGGTGGTGAATTAAGACACAAAAACGGGACACGCTGGCCTCGCAGTGCAGTGGGGCGGAGCCTAAACTGCAGATTAGCGAGGCAAGCAGAACGGAGGAGCCAGGAACGCCCTGGACGGTAACTGTGCCACACTTTTTAATTTTTCAAGTTGGGAAAAGGACTTACCGATGAAAAAACTGATATAATCTTTTTTCAGTTTGTCCAAACCGATTTCCAAAAGCATCTGAAGTGGAACAGTCCCACTCAGAGGAACTGCATCCATGGCTCCGTGGTAAGATTGATGAATGAGCTTGCTTAGCAGACTGTTACTCTCACTATGGAGCTGGAAATAGAACCAATTGTATAAAGGCATGAAAATATAAACAAAAGAAGTAAATTCCATTAGCTGCAAACCAAAAATGACACACTTGCATTCCTACTCTTCTGAGCCAGCTCCACATTACAAACATGTCAGTTTCTAAAATGCCATTCCTACCTCACCTGCTTAAAAAGTCAAAGCAACTAGCAAGAGTTTAAATTTTTCAGTCCTGAGTGCCAAGCTTAACTTCATCAAGAGGCAGGCTGGTCCTTCAAGCAGGACTTCAAAAACCTTTCTCCTATTGGCTGATTCAAGTGCTACTGGCCATTTTCCCTGGAAACGGATCATCTTCTTCTGCAGGAACGTGAACTCTCTGCCCTACAGCCACAAGGCCACGCGTGAGTCCTGAGAAATTCTTTCTCGGCTGTTACACCCAGCATAACTCACCTGGCAATTCTCGCCTTAAACAGTTGTGAGCTTACAGACTGAACACAGGTTCCAAATGTCATCCAGTTCATTTTAAGCACACATGAAGTCATCATCATTGTTCCTACTACTTTAATTTTTATTGCATTGTGTTTTTTAAAACTGGCTTCATTTGGTTTGCCTGCATCATACTCGGAAGGATTATACGTGTAAACATTTCCCTCACACAGTGATTCTCAAGAGAAAATTTCAATGACCTCAACTTAAAAGCCTAAAATCACAACTATCAGTCAGGCAAAGCTTGTGCCTTTACTCTGAAGTCTCTTTGTTCACATTTAGGAAAACTTTTTTTTTTTTTTTGGCAGTGCTAAGGATTAAATCCAGGGTGTTGTATATCTAGAAAAGTTCTTAGCTTTTAATCATCATTTGGAAGCCAAGTTATTTTAAATATTTCCTAATGAATAAGGGATCTTTCAGTTTTTAAGTTTTTACTTAGCTTTCTTCTTCGTTGGAAGTGTAGTACAAATTCACTGTGGAAAACTCACGAAGCACAGGAATACACAATGCACTTAGAAATACTCATTTGTAAAAAAAAAAAAAAAAAAAAAAAAAAAAAAGAAATTTGATACTAAGGTATTAAAGGAAGGAAAATTGCAAAAAAAAAAAAAAAAAAAAAAAAAAAAAAGAAATACTCATTTGTAACCCTTCCACCAGAAGTGACTATTAAGATTTCCGCATATGCCATTGTGTATATAACTTTTTGTAAGCTGAACATTACAAGCATCTCTCTCCAAATCATCTGTCAGTGCCAAGTTTTTACCAACTGCTGCATTGCCATTACACAGCTGTATCACTATTCAAGTGGCCACTCCAATAACAAGGGAAATGTAGGCCATTTGCCATGCTCTGGTACCACAAATGAAACTATGATGATTACTGGGACACATAAAATCTTGTCACATGCTTTTGTGTATCAGTTTATGATGGAGTCTAACAAAGGAGTTACTAGTTCAAAGGGCAGGCTGCATTGAGGATATCAACACATCATCGAAACTGCTTTTCGGAAGAGTATGCTGGTTTGCTTCTCATCAGCGGCATAGGAAATACTCATAGAACAGCACTTAACTACGGGCCAGGCATCAGGTGTTTTCCAGCAGCAGTGCAATGGCACTCGAAAGTAGGTATTCTTTCCACCTTTACACAGGAAGGCACAGGAGTACAGAGGAGTAATCTCTACAGCCAGACAGCAGCGGAGCAGCAATGTAAACCCAGGAGGTCAGTCCCAGTGCCTGCATTGTCACCTATCATGCTGGCCCCTGAGAACATATGTCACCTACCCACGGCTGGATGTCATCTTGCTGGAGACTCTGCATTACCAGCATCAAACACTTCACCAAGTCTTGATAGGAAACCACACCTGGAAAATCAAGTCAGTCCGATATGATTCTCACATTTCTACAGATCAAAAACGTCATTCATCTTAAAGTTACACAAATGAAATAGAAGAATCTGTATCTGTGGGTGGAAGAAGAAAAACTGGAGGACAAAAAAATAAAATTACATAAATTTTTCTTTTCTGCAGTGTTGGGGAACTGAGCCCAGGGCCTGCTACCTATGAGGCCAGTGCTCTACCCCTGAGTTACATGTCCAACCCAGGTTTAATGTACTTCTAAAGAAAAACATCAAACTTACATTGTTGGTAAACCTACACAGTTAGTAAAAGACTAAGAAACAGTGTTTGCTTTTTCTAATAATTATAATGTTATTAAAGTATGTGTCTTGGTCCATATCAATATACCACAAAAAACAACTAAGTGTTACACTTTAAAAGGCAGAGAAGAATAGACCCATGGATTGCCCTGCCTCAGTACAATCGTTTTTCCTTCCTTCTTTTATTCTCATAGCAATCCTCCTGACACAGCCCCCTAGTGCTGGGATGGTGGGTATGTTACATCAGGCTTGGCTGCCCTAAAGCTACAAGTTTTGAGCACACTGTGCCAACCCACTGTTAGCCATGAATCTGACGAAAGAGGAACCAGACTTCCACAGAAGACTGATAGTAGGCTCTGTTCCAAAACGACTTTAAAATAAACCCAAAACACAGCATGAACCTTAGCCCTGACGGACACCTACTGCTGCTCATTTTGCACCAAAGTTGTTCGACGAAATCCAGATCATCCCGCACCGTGATGAGGACAGCTCTATCAACGGCGGCAGCGTCATGCTTCACGGCCTGAAGGACACAGGTGTCAGACAGTGCTCAGGCCTTTGTCTGTTTATTCATCTGAGACAGGGTCTGGCCACATAGTCTACGCCATCCTTGACCTTGCTATGAAGACCAGGCTGGCCTGAAACTTTCAGTGCAATCTGCCTGCTTCAGCCTCTGACAGCAGGTATTACAGTCACACAACACCACATCTGGCTTATTGAATTTTAAGGTGAAATAATCTAAGCTTTTAAATACTGCCAAAGAACTATGGGTTCACACACACACACACAAGACAGCACATTTTTTACAGCTTCTCCTTTACTTACTAGTAAGGACGCCCACACCTCACTAGACTATGAACAACTGGAATGGTAAAGCTGTTTAAAACTGTAATGAACGAAAGGGACCGTTCAGCTTTCCTTCCACATAAGAATATCAGGGCTGTAGCAGCCCTAGGAGAAGAAGCACCAGCGTCTCCTTAGAGACCCACCATGTTGGAACTCAGGGTGCTAGGAAACCGTGCAACCAGCCTGCATCCCTGGGAAGTGACTGTGGTGTGGCAGGCTGTGGCCCCTCCAGGGGGAGGACCACCAGTGTCACACTGGAACTTCGGGTGCTGGGAAACCAAGCAACCAGCTGCATCCCTGGTAGGTGGCTGTGGTGTGGCAGGCTGCGGCTGCCCCAAGGGGAGAACCACCAGCGTCCCCTGAGACCCGGGCCATGTTGGAACTTAGAGTGCTGGGAAATCAAGCAATCAGCCTGCCTCCCTGTTAAACAATAGTGAGCCTACTGGTGCACGGGATTAGAGTCAAACATCCACTTCCCCTGCCCTTTTTAGCAAACGGGAACTAGAGATCTGAGCATCCTTGGGAGGTTGACCATATGCAATATAGCAAATAAGGGGGATTTCCTTCTAACACCTCTTTGAAGTACTTTTACTATTGTTTTGCTTTATTCTGATTAATGGTACTGTTCTATTCAATAGTCTGTTTTGTTAGTTCTATAATGTTCTGTACTTCATTTTATTTTGCTATATGTGATTGAAAGAACAACTATTGTGAAGATAATGAGATACACTGTGATATCTATTACTGTTATCCTGGTAACCTGCTATGAAGTTCTGCACCATTTTCACTACACTGTCTCAACTGGCTTTGTTTTGTCTTGTTCTGCTGGATTTTACTACCTTCAAAAAAAAAAGAATATTTATCAGATTATCTCTGCCTTCATATTTGGTTCTGTCAAATGAGCATGCATGATTTGCTGTGGTGATACCACAGTAGAGCACAGAAGCGCACCCTCTTACAGTCTATTAGTGCATCACAGCAAAGCCCCTTGAAGGGATTAGTGGATTCATCTCCACTCTATACAGCATAACAACCAGCGACACATATGGCACTGGATCCAAGAACAACAGCAATCCTGGTGTGCACTCCACACTAAACCTTACTAATCTTTATAGTTAGCACTTCAGAACAAAAGCAATCCCCAATAATGCTCACTTACCTCTGTGTCTTTTTTTGTAGAATCACCAAATCCATCCAGCTTATTTAATTCTACAAAGTGGCAAAAGCTTATTAACTTCATTTTATTTTTCTGCTTTTCAAACTATATCATAACCCTATTTCCAAGTGGGCCACAAGGACAGCAGAAGCACTGCTGGGGATTTTAGTAAATTACAGGCTCTCCCAGGAGGTACAGGGCGGGAGGCAGGACTGGGGAGCAGCAGAAGCCCCCAAGCCGTGGGGCTGGCACATGGCAAGTGCAATACTCAAAGGCCGTGGCTTCCTCTGTTTCCCACAGCTGCATACGTGGTTGTTATTACACAAATTTCAAACTAATCTTACTAATTTTTAGAATGACTTAGATCTTTACAGTTAGCACTTCAGAACAAAAGCAATTCCTCTATGTCTGACCTCACAGCTTTAGTACATCCCAACCAAAAGGTATATTAAGCTAGAGACCATTCATATGTACATATAGCAATATACAAATTCTGAGACAAGAGTGAGTCAGGAAAACAAACACCATTCAGAAACTCCTGCACCAGGTCAACGGCAGATTTTGCTTCCAGAGGCTCGAGCCACTCGGTCACCCCTGTCCTCAGGCCATCAGCCAAAACCTGCACGAGACGCAAACAACCCAGAAACTTGTTAGTGCAAACACAGCTTAACCGAGGGTGTCGTCCATAGTAATACTGGTTACAATGGCACTGCTGGAGTGCTCCTGACACGCCAAGCTCTGTCATTCAGTCCTGACAAAACCACATGATGCACAGGTCACTGAGCAACGGACAGTGCTGCAATAAACACCCACAGTCCAGCCCCCAGGACAGTGTCAGGAACTGCCTGCCACATGCTCAGGTGGTACAGAAGACTCCGGACTGGGGACACTGGGCTGGCTCTGCAGCGGGCTTTTCCTTGCAGCTTTTGGACTGCAGAGCAGAGAAGGAGCAGGATATGAAGGAGGAGGGAGGAGTCCAGCCAGCGTGGAGAGAGGTGGGGACTGCGCCAGAAGACCTTAACACTAAGGTTCTTCTACTTCTTTTTTTTTTTTTTTTTTTTTTTTTTTTGGTTCTTCTACTTCTTACGGGATGTGATAGCAACTGTGGAGTTTTGGGGGCAAACACGACACAAATGACTTAAAATTCTTTCGTCTCCAAAGAATAGAGAGGGTACACATTTCCGAATCTGTCATTTCCAGGAAGTCTTTGGAAAAATGTGAAGTTTTTTTTTTTTTTGAGACAGGGTCTCCCTATATACTCCAGGCTAGCCTTAAACTCTCAGGGATCCTCCTGCCTCAGTCTCCTGAGTGCTGGGATGACAGGTCTGCATCACCATGCCCAATCTATATATCCATTTGGTATCAATAGGCAGCTGACCATGTAGAAAAAGAGCAGACCTATCTTATAACTAAAGATCAAACACTCCAGTAGAAAAGGTGAAAGATCTGTAACTATTAACTAATAATGTTCCCTTTAATTACAAGGATTGTTACCAAATAAAGTTAAAACTACTCAAACTGTCACCAGTACCAAGGAACATAAGCACCTGCCTGACAAGTACAAGGTCCTGAGTTCGACTCCCGATACCACAAAAATAAAAAATAAAATAGTATCAATGAATCTACAACACTGGAATAAATTCTGAAGGAATTAAAAAATATGAGCAAGCACTTTCATAAAAACATGAAATTTAATAAAAGTTAAAGAGTCCTGGAAGGATACTCACAAGGAGAAATTTCAGTTCTCTGTGAAGATGAGTCAAGCAACCTCTGGGCTCTCCTGATTCCACTTTGATATTCTAAAAAATATCCAAGTCAGTTCTCCTGACACTATAGCATCTTCTCCTCACAAGGAGCATGGTTATGGTTACTTACATGGCAAAACACCCACACATTTAAAAAAAAAATCTATTTATTATATCTACTATATGTACTTATTAAATGCATTTATAGTATAAATATATATTAAATAATAAACATATATTACTAATATATTAAATAATACATATAAATTAATATATATACATTAAATAAACCAGAGCATATTATCCTAGCCAGAAGTCAAAAAAAAAATTTTTTTTTTGTTACCAGGGATTGAACTCACGACTATGTGCTTGCAAGGCAAGCGCTTATGCTGCTGAGCTAAATCCCCAGCCCCAGAAGTCAAAATTTTCAAAACTTAACAATTTATAAAAAGTAGACATCAATGTATGCAAACTCTTATTACAGGAAAAGCATATGTGTAAATAATAATTCCAAACCCCGAGGGAACCACTGTTCATATATTTATTTTCTTTTTTACGTTTTTTAAAATATTTTTCTTTCTCTCTTTTTTTTTTTTTTTTTTTTTTTTTGGAGAGAGGGTCTCACCATGCATCCCAGCGTGGCCTTAAACTCACTTTGTAATCCAGGCTGGCCTCAAACTCAAAGTGATCCACCTACCTCAGCCTCCTGAATACTGGGATTACAGGCATGTGCCACCATGCTGGCTTTAATATTTAAAAAAAAAAAAAGAAAACCAAGTTTCTCAATGTATGTTCCATTGTAGCCTCCTCATTGATGTGTTTTGAAATTTTTTTTTTCTCTTTGAAATAAAATGGATTTCACAAATAAATAAAAATAAAAAACAGGATTCCATGTATACTTTTTTAAAAAAAACAGTTGCACATATTACTTTGTTTTGGGGGGTTTTTTGTTTGTTTGGTTTTGTTTTTTGCTTAATAAGAAACATTTTTGTTGTTTTTGTGAGACAGTGTCTTAGTTCAAGCTGGCCTTGAACTCACAATGTAGCCCAGGCTGGCCTTCTACTCTCAGCAACCCTCCTGCCTCAGTCTTGCAAGTGCTGGGATTACAGGTATGTGCCACTATGCCCAGCTTTTGTTTCTAGTTATTAAGGACAATTAAACTGGGGACAGTGGCACGTGCTGAAAATCGCAGCTAGTTGGGAGGCTAAGCTAGGAGGGTCACAAATTTGAGGCCAGTATGAGACTCTATGTCAAATTTTTTTTAAAAAAAGAGAAGGAAAGTTGAGGATATAGGAGACTGCTATAAAAAATCTCGCATACACATAAAACAAACAACAATAAAAAAGAACAAAAACTTTATAAAGCTATGTAATATTTCATCATGGACATCTATTTTTCTACTGAAAATTCAAGTTTTGTTTTTAGTATTTCAGAAACATAGTTGTATCACTGCACCAAATATGTTGTACATAAACTGTTATTAATTCTAGTTTTCCCTCCCCGCCTTTTTTTGTTACTTTTGAGATGGAGCCTCACTATGTAACCCAGGTGGCCTTAGAGTCATGACCCTCTGGTCTCAGCTTCCCCAGTAGCTACGATGATAGGTATATACACCATGCCTGGCTCAAGTCTGACAAATCTCCTAAGATTCCTAGCAATGTAAACACAGGTGATAATGTTTAACACTAGCACTCGGGAGGCTGAGGCAGAAAGAGCACCACAAATTCAAGGCGAGCCTGGGTTATATAGTGAGTTCAAGGCCAGCTTGCACTACACAGTGAGATGCTGCCTCAAACAAAAAATAAAAAGTAAAATAAAATAAAGGAAGTGTTTAATACTTTAACACTGCTCAATGAGTTATTGATATGTGCATTCTTAAGAAGGACAGAAAAGTAGAGGCTGGGGATTTAGCCCAGAGGCACAGCACCTGCCTAGCAAGCACAAAGTTGTGAGTTTGATCCCCTGTACAAAAAAAACCCCCAAAAACCAAGAAGTTAAGTCATTTTGAGGATTCTACTTGAGTTCTCCCTAGATTCATTCACAAAACTCTTAACTTCCACAGCTGTGGGGCTGGCAGCAGCTGACAGTTCAGCTGCCTGGCAAAGCCCCCCCTGCAGTCCTGGGAGTGCCCAGAGTGTTCCAGGCTCCCAGCCGGGAATCACCAGCAGGGAAGCAGCCAGTACGGGTCACAGCCAGCGAGTACTCCCAAGCGACCAGGGAACAAGGGAGAGCAGGGCACTTTCCTACCAGAGTGGCAGCTGACGAGAGTGGAGGGACCTCAAGCATCTCATTCACAGGGCTCCAGGAAAGATCCAGAGTGATGGCCGTGTGGGACTGGGCGGCCACATCGTCCAGGACACTAGACTTGAAGAGCTCGTACTGCGCAAAGCCCTTGGCCGTAGCCTGAGTGTGCAGGAATGGAAAAACAAGGCCATTCTTTGAAACCACAAACAGCTGACAGGGAGGAAGGCACAGCCAGTGCACCCTCTGTACCCCTGGGTTCACATCCACGGCTTCCACCCCCAGGGATCAAGATCACACGGCCCAGATGGTGCCTGTACTCAGCACTCACAGACTGCTCTCTCATGTTCCCTGAATGATGCCGCAGCAACTATTTACATCCAACTGACACTAACGGGTATTTTAGCAAAGCAGCGACGGCCATCAGTACTGTGGGGGGCACAGGTACAAGTGAACGTCTCAGCACCCCATATGAGGGACCTGAGCAAAGCAGAGCCCAAAAACTAACCCCACGCATACTCAGGGATGACTGAATTTTAGTTGATACAAAAATAAAACATTCTGAGCTGGGGATTTAGCTCAGCGGCTTAAGTGCCTGCCTGGCAAGTGCGAGGTCATCAATTTGATCCCCGGTACCAAAAAAAAAAAAAAGACATTCTGACACCACAGAAAAGTACCTAGTCATATTAAGGGTGGAGAAAAACCTTTAAACTAGGAAGGTGGGTCAATAACAGCTTGAAGAAAATAACAGAAGAAAAATACTTACAGTAGACAAGTGATGTCTTGTCTTGTGTACATTTTTTAGGTTTTCCAGACTCAGAAAATAATTTTTATCAGCTATAGGATATGAAAGAAAGAAAAAAATTAAAGGTACAGTTCTAAGTTACATTGTTAGAGCTTGAAAACTAATCCCTTGCTGGCTGTGGTGGCCCACACCTGTAATCCCAGCACTTGGGAGGCTGAGGCAGGAGAATCACTGGGAGTTCCAGTCCTGCCTGGGCTACAGAGACCTTGTCTCAAAAAAAAAAATCTCATCGCTTAAATTCTGAAACCATAACTCAGGACTAATAACTGTTGAAACTAAATGTTGAATTATAGAAAAGGAAATGTTCATTTAAAAAAATGAAAATGGAACAAAGCTCAAATATAATTAAATAGGCAGGCCTCGTGGCAGCCCCTGTAGCCTCAGCCTTGCACTGGGATGATCACTTGAGCCCAGGCGCTAGGATGGGGACTAGGCAACACAGGGAGACCCCATCTCAAAAAAAGGTGCAAAATATAATCAAGTGCCCACTTGAGACTGGAATTATAATCAGTTTTTAATGAAACATTCGCTGTATTTTTTAAACTATACCTCATGTATGTTACACGTTACATATCAGATTCATGTGAGCAGCAAAATTTCCAGGGTCTACCTTCCTCTCAACACTTTTCAGTAAAGTCCACAATAACTATGTGAATAAGTACACACAGGCGACACAGAGGCGGGTCTCACCTTTACAACTGACAGCATATAAGACGACACCTGTGACACTGTCACCAGCTGTGACGAGCTCAGCTCCAAGCCAACAGGTGGCCTCAGGATCAGAGCCATCACATCGGACCCACAGGGGAGGGAGGGCAGTAACAGGCCGCTCGACTTTCAGGTGGGTCATGTTAGGGTTGTGGGCCATGGTGTAGAGCCCAATGAACTGTCTTGAAAATAGAAAAGAAATCACCTTCTCAGTACCAAAAAAAAAAAGGAAAGAAAGAACCTATAGTTCTATGCTGAGGGCGCAGCTCAGGGGCAGAGCATACCCAAGGCTCCACATCTGACCCTAAGATCACTAAGGAGGAAAAAAGAAGACTTTTCTCTTACAAAGATACCATAAAGGAAGGATCTCACAGAAAAATGGGAAATGAAGTGCTTTGATGCACAAGTATAAATACTAGCATATCTCACCAGCAGAAGGGAACAGAGCTTATCAAACTGACAAAAACAGACACCACAAAGCCACAGTGGACTGGCAAACACCCAGCCCCAGCTCCGCATGTGACTGGATAGGAGGAGCAGCTGCAGGGAGCTCAGGCTGCAAAGGTGGGCAGCAGCAGGACAGACGCAGGGTGTGAAATGAGCTGGCCAAGTGCTCGGGGCCAATGGCTACACCAGAAGATCGTGGGTCACTGGACCCTTCAGGAAATCTAATAAGCTCTCAATTGGATAACAGTCCTGTCGTAATGCTAAATATGCAGATTCTTCTATGACAGGGTCTCATTATGCAGTTCAAGCTGGCCTTGAACTTTTGATCCTCCTGCCTCCGCCTTCCAAGTACTGGTACTACAGGTGTGTCCCCATCACTCCTATGTGTCTAGATTTTGGTCATTCTTCCATGGTCACATAAAAGAACATTATACTTGCTCTTATGAAATACAGCAATACCTCAGTTCATGAACACTCCTGTTTGTAAACACTTTGGTACACAAGCAAAGGCATTGGGCAAAATTTTGTTTTGTTTTGTTTGTCACTCCTCATTAGGTGACAAACAAAACCATGGCCATCTTCCCTGCACAAACACAAATGCAGCCATCTTCCCCCAAATCATTAAAACAAATTAAGTTCATAAACCAAGATACCACTGTATATAATGAAGTAATTAGTGGTAAAGGAATACAATGTCTCCAAAATAGTCTTTCTCTTAAAAAACTGTACACATATCTATGTAGTATGTGTATATCTATCTATGCATATAAACACATATACAGACACTATAGTTCAATCAGTATGTACATTGGTCTGGCTGACAAAGTCACCATACGTCGTCACGAAGGTTTATCATGATGCCATACAGTACATGCACATACACACACGAGTATAGAACCTGCTCTGTGGCTACTCACCTGCATGTAGAGAGGAAGAGGAGCAGGAGAAACAGAGACAGCAAAAGGTAGGTAACTGGCAACCTGGACTCAATGCACACAGAGACCTCTGTATTATTCCTGCAACTTTTCTGTACATTTCAATGTATATCTAGGTTAAGAATTACTCCAAGGGGCTGGGGATTTAGCTCAGCAGCATAAGCGCCTGCCTTGCAAGCAGGCAGTCATGAGTTCGATCCCGGGTACCGATAAAAAGGAAAAAGACCAAAAAAAAAAAAAAAAAAAAAAAAACAGAATTACTCCAAAAGGTAGCCTAATTTTCAAAGAGATAAAAATCACATTTATTACCAATAGATGATCACAAAAGGAATTTTGAAGGATTTCACTTCAAAAAGAAAGTACAAAATTAGCAGAAGGAAGAACTGAGGTGCAAGAAAAATAGCAAAGAAATGAGGGCAAAGCAACACTGCTAAAGAAATCGAGGTGAGCCAAGTCCAGTCAGCACAGAGAAAAGGAAAACAGCTCAGACCGGGTCGCTCCAGCATGCGTAAAGGAAGAGATTTCTGAAACTTCTGCCAGGCAGAATGAAAGAAAGTTTCTTTCTAGTGATCACCATTCTCTAACATTATTGTTTGAGGCTCTGCTTTACAGGGCGCCTGGGTGGTCAGGAGTCTGGTCTCACATCCTGCTCCACTACAGGAGGCAGCAGGTTTCTGGTTCGGGCTGGGATGCGCAGGGTGCCCTGCCCACCACAGCCAGACCACCACATGCCAGCACTGCCACGGGTCAGCAGGACACCCCAAACACTCCTGGATGCTTCAGAGGACCTCGGGGCAGTAAATGAAGGCTCCAATGTGTCACTCATGAGGACACATGTCGCTGGTTTTTCATGAAACACTGCAGAACCAGCAAAGGGATTTTAAGCAGGGATCAGTGTTTATAAACATTAGTCTGGGAGCAGCAGGGAAGCAAGGTTGGAGAGCAACCACCCGAGACATGGAAAACTCTAACAAGCAAGGACAAGAATTGGCAGGGAAGGGCAGAGAGAGGGAAGCTAACTGCAGTCTTCGTCACGCTGGACAGCTGTGTGCTACCAGGCAGAGCAGCCCTTACTTAGAGACAGATGCACACGCCTCAGGGGAGGCAGCTCTCTGGGGCTAGATATCATTTCCCATGGTTTATAGAGCTGCTTTAATTTAAATCCTATTCTCCAAGCTGGGCGAGGTGGTGCACATGTGCAATCCCAGCACCCAGGATGCTGAGGCAGGAGGATCACTGCAGGTCAACGCAAATCTGGGCTGCAAAGTGAATTCAAGGCCAGCCTGAAGTGAAATCCTGTCTCAAAAAGACAAAAAATAAACAGATAAATCCATCCATTCTATCCTCTATCCCTGTCTCTATACTGAGAAAAAACTTACCTGGCTCTCCCAACTGATAAAGGAAGCGGCCCAACATTCTCACCAGCAGAGAAATCAGAAATAGCAGTTTCTTCAGACTGTAGTTCTTCATGACTTGTTTCTTCCTTTTCTAAAGGCTTAAAAAGGGTTTTAAACTATTTAACCAGACAAAAGAACACAGTGGGCGAGGCAGTATTTTACAAACAGAACACGAAATATTCATCTAATTCCTAAGCACAGACCATTGGGTTATGGCAAGAATAAAGCCCTAAGCTAGATTGTATCAGAAGCACCTCCCACTGTCCCTTAAAAGGAATTTGATTTAGCCTGTAATCCCAGCACTCAAGAGGCTGAGCCAGGAGGATCATTGCACGTTCGAGACCAGCCTGGGCAACAAAGTGAGCTCAAGGCCAGCCTGAACTGCATAGGAGAGACCTTGTCCCAAACAGACCAAAACAAACAAACAAAAAAAGATACAGATTTAATTGCTTTTGGTCTAGGAAGCATCTCATGCATTCAGAGAAACACAACAATGAGGTAAAGGGAAACTCATGGGAGACCACAGATTCCACTGGATTCTCCCAATCCCCAGACTGGAAGAGCTCATTTCTGGGAAAGGACCTCAGATCCACTGCTCTCCCCGCATGGATCATCCCTTTCAAGGCTTCCAGGAAACCATGGTGTTAGGGCTCTAATAATCTGTTCATTTACCACAGTTAAACAGTCCAGCCTTGGCAAGAATAACAGTACAAGTTAACATTTTTTGAGCCTTACTAATACAGGGTACTGTTATCTAAATTATCTTTTATTTTTCATAAAAATACCAGATAAGAAACTATCATTGGTTGGGCTTAGTAACCCTAGCACTGAGGGGAGGACTGCCTGGAAAAAAATAAGTGAACAAAAAACACTGTCATTGTCCCTAATGAACCAAACTGCATTTTTTTTTTTTCTTTTGAGACAAGAAATTGTCTCAAAAGACATTCAGGCTGGTCTTGAACTTATTATGTAGCCTAGGTTGGCGGTGAACTAGTAGTGATGCTCCTGCCTCAGCCTCCCAAGTGCTGTGATTACAGACATGTGCCACCGTACCCAGCTAACAGGAAAACAGAAGTGCCACCTGCAAATATAGGTGCTACACAGCAAAGCCAACCTTAGAACCCAGTAGCTCTCAACTGTGGCACATTCCTACCACAAAACACTTCTCAGCAGGAGCTTGAAATGAGCTGTCAACACAGGCACTGCTTTGGGTGAGTCTTAAAGGCATCATACTAAGTGAAGTCAAACTCAAAAGGTGACTCTATTTGTGACATTACTGAAAAGACGAAACCACGGTGCAGGTAGAGGGCTCCGTGGTGGCCAGCAAGGAGGACGTAATTACAAACGGCTCCCTCGAAGGCGCTGCTGAGGGCTGTCTGGGGAGCCGGACCTGTCCGGAACGCGACTGTGGTACATGTAGAATAATCTGCGCAAGCGCCTGAATTCACAGCACTGCACCGCAGGAGAAAGGGGTCAGCTTTACTGAGTACCTGCTCGTTCCTTTTGCTTAATGAAACGACTAGAAAATTTACAATCATATATGGTACAGATTCTGCTTCTACAAAACAGCAGTGTTCTTATTCCTAAAAGAGTTAGAATTCACTTTTACTAAGGCAGTAGAAAAATGCATACGCTTGAGATTATTCCCAAGGCACATCACAACGGCGATCCCCCAGCGCTGCTCACCGCTTTCTCCACGAGGAATATCACGTCATGTTCGCCTAGTATACTCTTTACAGGGTTTGGCTGGCCCTTGCTGATCAACTGCACTTGAACGTCAGCCTGTTAAAAACAAGAGCCAGCAGCGTCACACAAGCACTGAAATATTTCTTGGGTTTAGGAAATCTAGTAGGAAAAGAAAAAAAGGAAACCTAGCAGCTCTCACACCTCTTCCCACCCGTGCGTGGAGGCTGCCTGACACGCATGGCACCCTGTGAAGGCCCCTTCACTTAGGCCCACGCCGGGGTCCGCACCCCTCACCTCCTCTATGATCGGCTGTACTGCCCGCAACCAGCTCTCTCACTTCCGATCGTATGATGCAACGTAAAAAAACTTCACAGGAATTGTATGTTCTTTTAAGTTAACCCCAAAACACAATTACTTTAGAAAAACATTAAAACAGATAACTTCTTTTTAAAAAAGAAGTTTTAAAAAAACTACCTGTCAGGCTGGGGATTTAGCTCAGTGGCATAAGTGCCTGCCTAGCAAGCATGAGGTCATGAGTTCGATACCCCATACCAAAAAACAAGAACAAAAAAACTACCCATAATTCTATTGCCTAGCACAATCACCATTCTTAGCCGGGTTGGCTTAAAATGCTGCCAAATCTCTTTTGAAGGCATGCAAATCTTTTTTAATTAGCACATGTTTGCAATACATTACATATGTGTACAAAACACATCTCAATTCTTTTTGTCTCCTTCTCCTCCTCTCCTCTCCCTGCCTCCATCTCTTGGTCTCCTTCCCATTTGCAACTGATCTCTCTTCCTATTTCCTATTACCTACTTTGGCCTTTTGCTTTATTTGTATTCGGCTTCCCATACATGAGCAACCATGTGATGTCTAAGCGTGTCTGACTTAGCTCACCTAGCAGGCCCCAATACGTGCCCATCTCCTCGCACACCACTCATCTATCCTTGACAGCAGACAGCACTCCACTATGCATGAAGATCACATTTTCTGTATCCATTCATCTGCTGATGGACTTACAGGCTGCTTCCAAGATTTAGTTATGTGCTAGCCTGGGCAGCACATGTATCAGGATTTATGTTATTTAAGTTATTATCAGGATTTAAGTTATTATGACTTGTCTTGCTATTCACAGGGGCATGCATGGGTCACTGCACCATGTCTTTAAATCCAGGAACCTAGAACAGCTGGGGCGAACAAAATTTCTTTTGAGACAGGGCCTTGTTATTCAGGTTGGCCTCAAACTCAGTGATGCTCCTGCATCAGCCTAAGTGCTGAAATCACAGGCATATGCCACCCTGCTCAGAGCAGAATTTCTAGTTTGTTTTGTGAGGAATCTCTATTTTTATTTATGTAATAATTGTAGTAGCTTACATTCTAATCAACAGCATAAAAAGGTTTCTTTTTTTCTGCAGCCTCACCAGCACGTTATCATTTGATTTCTCTTTTTCAAAACAGGGTCTTCATATGTAATTCAGGCTGGCCATGAATTCACAATGTACGCTAGGCTGGCCTTGAACTCAGGGTGACCCTCCTGCCTCAGCCTCCAAGTGCTGGGATTGCAGACGTACAACATACTGGACTATTATTTGATTTCTTAATGACAATGATTCTTTCTGGAAGATGAAATCTCAGTATTGTTTTAATCTGCATTTCTCTAATGGCCAGAGATGCTGAATGTTTTTTCATGTATTCACTGGCTCTTCGTATTTCTTTTGAAAAGTGTCTATTAATTTCAGTTGTTAGTTTTTTAGCTGGGTCTTGTGTTCTGGGACAGTATAATTGTTTCGAGTACCTCAGGCATATATTCCAGAGACTAGTATTCATTTTCTGACTTAAGAATAGCTGCCAAAACTATCTTCCTGTGCAGGATGCCTCTTCACTCTCTTGTTTCTTTTGCTGTGCAGAAGCTTTTTAATTTTCAGCACTATTTCCTGTGCAACCAGAAAGTTCTTACCTATGCCTTCAAGAGTTTTATCCATTCCATCCTCCGGGTTAAACGTTTCTGTTTTACTATTTAGATCTTGGATCAGTTTTGACTTTAGCTTAGCGCATGGTGAGGTACACGTCTAGATTCAATCTTCTGCACATGGACAGCCAGTTTTCATTTATAAAAGAGGCTCCCTTCCTCTCAGCATGCTTTTAACTCCTGTGTCAAGGATCAAATGGCTGAATGTGCCTCAGGTTGTTTTTGTATCTGCTGTTCTACTGATCTGTATCTGTTTTTGTGCCACTACCATGCTGTTTGTATCCCTGCAGCTTTGTATATAACTTGAAACCTGCTTTGCTCTTGTTGCCCAGGATTGCCTTTGCTATTCGAGGTCTCTCCAGCTCCATGTGAAATTTAAGATTGTCTTCACTAGTTCTGTGAGGAATGTTGTGGGTATTCTTATTGGGATTGTATTAAATCTACATATTAATTTTAGAAGCATGGCCTTTTTGACATACTGGTTCTACCTAATCTGGAAGAGGAGCTTTCTTTTTCTTCCTTTTCTTTTTTGACACAGGGTCTTTCTATATAGTTCAGACTGCCATTGAACTCATTATATAGATTAGGCTGGCCTGGAACTCAGCAATCCTCCTGCCTCAGCTTCCAACGTGCTGGGATTGTAAGCATGCACCATCACACCCAGCTCTTTCTATTTTCTGACCTCTTTTCAGAGTACTATAGTTTTTATAACCGAAGCCTTTCACTGCCTTTGTTAGGTTAATTCCTAAGTATTTCATTTTTCTTGAAGCTAGTGTGAAGGATATATTATTCCTAATTTTTCTCTGTGATTTCATTATTGGTGTCCAAGAACACTACTTTTTGTGTTTGGTTTTTGTTTGCTTTTAGTGGAGGGATTTTGGTTGAGACAGGGTCTTAGTGTGTAGTTCAGGCTGGTCTTGAACATACCATGCAGTCCAGGTAAGCCTTGAACTTGCAGTGATTGCCTGCATCAGCTTCCCAAGGGTTGGTATTACAGATATACACGATCACACCTGGCTCGTGTGTCCATTTTGTATCCTGCTACCTACTGAATTTGTTTATCAGCTTCAGAAGTCTTTAGGTGGAATTTTCTATGTAAAGGGTAGTATCATCTGCAAATAAAGACAGTTTTGACTTCTCCTTTCCCATATCTTTCTTCTCTCTCTTAGGGCATACAAATAAAGCTCTCTAAAGAGACATGTACCTATTTACATATCAAGTAGGATTCTGCTTTAAAAAGACAGGATATTTAAACAGTTTTGTGTCATGCACCACTTTTTTTTAGGGGGGTACTGGAGACCGAACTCACAGCCTTGTGCGTGCCAGGCAGGTGCTTATGCCACCAAGCTAAATCCCCAGCTCGTGAACCTCTTTCCACAGCATTAAATATTCTCTGGCTGCCTAACACTACAGATCCACCATCACATAATGAATTCCACATTGGCAACAGTTTGGTAGTTTTCAGTTGTTATTATAATAAACAATGGACAATAACACTTGTGAATTATTTTCTTAAGATGAATACTTATCACCACACTGATACTCTCAAATTGCCTTTCAAACATGTCATACCCACATATTTTCATTCCCATCACTTATATCAATATACTTCAGTATTTTCATCATTCATCTTTCTATCTCACAGAACAAGCTTTTTTTTTCTTTTTTTGTTTTGTTTTGTTTTGGAAATTGCTATGGATGTTGCTATGTAGTTCAGGCTTGCCTTGAATTCACTTATGTAGCCCACGCTGGTCTTGAACACATGGTGATCCTCCTGCCTCAGTCTCCTGGGTGGTGGCATTATAGGCATATGCCATCATGGCTGGCCCAAAAAGAGTATTTTAGTGTCACCTATTTGATCATTAATAAAAGTGAACAATATTTTATAAAATGTTTATTGGTGATAAGTGTACCTCCTTATTGGAATCTATTTGATATCTTCATTGGATTCTGAAGCATTTAGATACTAACCTCAGGTGGGCAAGGATACTGCATTGTCTATAACGCCTCTGAGTTTCACTTACTGTGAGTTGAACTAAGGCCCCCTACAGGTAAAGCCCGTACCCCTAGTTCCTGTAAAGTGACCTTACTCAAAGATAAGAGTCCTCAGAAATATAATCCAGTTAAGAGAAGGACTAATTTGAATCTGGGGGAGCCCTAGAACCAACAGCTGCTATACTTTTAAGGAGACAGAGACAGACACAGGGCAAGCACCACTGGAACTCTAAGCCGGACAGCATCAAATCACCAGAAACCACCAAAACCCAGGAGAGGTTGCGAGAGCCCCTTTCCTAGAGTTCTCAGGACACATGGATCGGACCTCCAATCTCCAACCTGTGAAAGAATTTCTGCCGTCTTCCACTGTCTGATCTGTGACACTTTGCTGCAGCAGCTCTGGGAAACCAACTGGGATGTCACACAGCCAGAATCGACATAAGGTAGGATTAACAAATTTACCTGGATATATTTCACTCTTGAGTCTGGTTAATGAGACTTCAGTGAAAGAATCTACATTTTCCTTCTTAATTACTCACTCATGTTCTTTGCCTATTCTTCCATTAGTTATGGTTTTTTCTTATTGATTTTAAATATACAGTATCCATATAAACATATATAAGATACGCTTAGGGAGAAAAAGGAGACGAGGGGAAGGAAAGAGGGGCAGAGGGGGATATACACGGACATTAACTCAAATCATTCATGATTATTACTCTACAGCTTATCCTATAATGCATAATTCATATACTTCATTAATAACCTCCCCAACTATGAGTTTATTTATGAAACACTTAGCACATTTCAGATGCTTAATAAATATATACTATTTAAAGCAATCTTGCTTGTTCATAATCATCAATGAGAAAATTTTCAGACTATAGGTATTTGTCAAAATCTGCAGAACTGTACCCTAAACGGGTAATATTTAATGTATATAAATTCACATCAATAAACCTGATTTAAAACCCCTCAATCTTAGGATTGAATTTTAAAACCAAATAAACTGTTCATACCTCATAGATAAATGGGTCTTTACAGATTCCTTTCTTTCCTTCATTAAATTCCCTGAAACATAGAAACACACATTTTTATTTAAACTCACAGGATAACTAGTACTTTCCCTCTGCACGGTATGAATAGAAAAAGAAAAAGCAAACTACTTACGGAGGTCCTAAGACATAGGTGGAAAACGGGGGAAATTAGGTTAAGAGGAGAAAAACAAAACAAAACAAAAAAATTGTGGGAACTGGGAGTGGTGGCGAAGACTGAGACAGAAGGATCTCTGAGTTCAAGGCCAAGGGCTACAGAGTAAGTTTAAGGTCACCCTGAACTGCTTAGTGAGACACTGTCTCAAAAAAATCCACCTATGGCAGAGATTAATATGCTGTCACTTACTGTTAGGTATAAGAATTATTCATTCATTTACTTATTTTTGTCCTTTTTGAGACTGGGTTTTGCTATGCAGTTCAGGCTGGCCTTGAAGTTACTCTGAGCACAAGCTGGCTTCAAACTCAGAGCTATCCTCCTGCCTCAGCCTCCTAAGCACAAATGCTGGGATGACAAATGTGCCACCATGCCCAGCTATCAGAGGTTTTTTAGAAGCAACAGAAAATTAGGTTGCCTGTCTGTACTCTTCTGTCTTTTCAAACACATCACCAATTAATATTAAAATATAATCTGCTTCAAGACTGTTTTTTGGGTTTTCGTTTTGTGTTTCTGAGGCAGGGTTTCACTATGCCGCCCAGGCTGGCCTTGAACTCACTTTGTAGGCTAGGCTGGCCTTGAACTCATGGCAATCCTGCTGCCTCAGTCTCCATGCCCCATGACTCTAAGTAAAAACCACTACACTCTGCTCTGCTTTGGAATCCATGGGAAACCACTGAGAAGTTACTTAAAGAGTTTCAGGCGTTAGATTTTATAACTAAATTGGAAGCATTTATCCTCCATTTTATGAGTTGTTACTAAAAACAATCAGTACATTTTATTATGTTGAACATTTTCTTTTAAAAATGTAAGCAAGAGCCGGGCATGGTAGCACATGTCTGTAATCCCAGCACTTAGGAGGCTGAGGCAGGAGGCTCTCCTCAAGCCTGGCTATACAGCAAGTTCAAGGACAGCTTGAGCTGCCTAGTGAGACCCTGTCTCAAAAAAGCAAACATAAAAAGCAGGCACAAGCTCCAGGATGTCATTTAATAATTATCATTTAAGAAAATTTTAAAATAGGGATTCCAAAGCATGTGAACTTATTAATATATAAAATGCAATACAAACATATACAACCAGCCTGATCTACACTCTGAAAAAGAAAAGTATCTCTAGTCGCTGAAGCAACTTGATCCAACTGTTTGAGGACAGCATCTATGTCTACTTCACCTGCCATCAGACCGGCCAGCTGAGGTAGAAACTGGAGTACCATGGAACACAAGATTGTGACTTATTCTTCAAAGATGTCTGATTTTTACATAGAACTCAAGGACATTAATCAGTCATTCAACAATCCTATGGACTACAGGGCAGGCCCCCTGAGTAGATACTGAAGATATCAAACTGAAACATAGTCTTAACTGGAGTAAAGCAGTTACTGAGGCAGAGACAAGCACTGTACGGAAGCTGGGGTGGAGATTTAGCTACAGGGCTTGAGCTTTATTCAGCAAGTCCAGAAAAACTTAATACAAGATTTTCAGTGAGAAACAGCTCAGTGGCTGGAAGGTGGAGGGTAAAAAGAAGGAGGACAGCCAACAGCGGTGAATAACCTTACATGCTTCAGAGCACCAGTAGAGAGGAGAGTGAAAGGGCTGAGGAGGGAAGTGGGAACGTGGGGCAAAGGAAAGAAAGGAAATTGCAGTCTTGGATCTGGAAATCTTAACTCAGAGACAGAGTTCAGGAGTAGTAGGTTTAGAGGAAAAATTAATCCAGTCTTGTGGTGGTGACTTTGACATCCCAAGTGAAGCTTCATTTAACAGACAAACTTAGGAAGCTTCCCAGTGGAAAGAAAGACTAGTAACACCATGAAATAACTGGGAACTAGCGAGAATCTACACAAAATCTTATCAACAGAGTACTAATTCAATACAAAATTATGCAACAAAAAACTAAGCAGTTGATAAGGAGGTCCCAGCACTCAGGAGGCTGAGACAGGAAAGTCACAATTCGAGGCCACCCTGGGCAACACGGCTGAAGCAAGGAGGTAACAGATTTGTGGAGAATGAATCACGAGCCCTCCACACTGGTGTGGATGGGTGGAGGTCCCATTTTCTAAGGTTTTGGTGTCATTTTGCTAACCTGACAAAAGGCTCCTGTAAAACATGATGTTGAGGCCCCAACAGGAAGACATCTCAGAGTGACACTGGCCTTTCAGGGGAGGGCCGGGCGGAGAGTGGTCTCACAGTGATACAGATGGCCAGAGATTTGCTGGAGGACAAACTGCCTAAGGCCAGTACCCAAGGACCAACAAAACAAAGTCCTGGTGAGATTGGCGGGACTTTCTTGCCCAGGAATAAGCTATTCACGCTTTTCTAAAGAAGGTCTTTGCTTAAAGTTACAATTAATGGAGCATACTCCAGCTTCCTACAGGATCAATTTCTAAGTCAGACTTTCCTGCTTGTCACCCCATAAATTGATCTTAGTTTGGCTGAGATGTAGTCATTTTTGAGCACAAAAACTCCTTGACACAAAAGTCGCTTTGTCGCCAGGCCTGGTGGCACATTCCTGTAATCTCAGCACCCAGGAGGCTGAGGCAGGAGGATCGCCGCGAGTTCGTCGCCGCGAGTTCGAAGCCAGCCTAGGCTACACAGCAAGACTGTGTCTCCAATATCGAAAACAAAACAAAAGAGGGGCAACAAGGATTTACAGGTGAAGAAGCTAAAGGAAATATCTAGATTTCCACACCCTGGGAGGGGCCTCTACCGATCGCCAGTGCATACATGAGCAGATGCACACTAGACACCTGTCACCTGGTACCTAGGTGATAAGGCAGTCGTCTTCTCCAATGCCTCCCCCAGGTCTCCCCACATCCGAACACAGCCGTCCTCTCTAACTCCCAGACCCGGAAAGCTGGCAAAGCGCAACTCCTCAGGGTATAGCAAAAGACCTGGTCCGGGGACCGGGATATCCAGAGGGGCAAGGGCTGTTCTTGGTCCCTGGGCGACAGTAAGGTCGACAACTCACTGCAGGAGGCGAGCGTAAAATTCCTCCGTCGCTCGGTTCGTCCGCGCCCACATCGCGCCCTAGCAGCAGCGAGCTCCGGGACCGCCAAACTGAATTGAGCGCCGGGACGCTGACGTCAGAGGCCGTGACCCCGCCCCGCCGGAACTACTTCCACAGCCAACAAGTTGTTTGTCCTCAAAGTTAAAAGTTTTTCTCTAAGAGCACCCAGTTATATTTCCTGTTCCAATAGTCTCTTATTCTCATCAGGAAAAAAGTTAAAATAAACGGCGGGCTGTGGGAACAGGTGACTCGTCTCGCGAGATTTGGCCACGCCCCCTGCGGATTAGTCCGCGAAAAAGAGTCCCTCCTTTATAAACCTTTATTAGCGTAGTGGGAAATAAATTGCGTGCTTTATTCTACATATAAAAAAACAGTACGGCCTTTTGTGTTTTTAGAGCATTTTAGGGCATATTTTCGGGTCTGAGTAGGATCCGAGGCGGGGCCCTATGGGGAAACGAGGTGAAGGATACATATAGGGCGGCAGTGCGAGGCACTTCCTTTTCCTGTAGGAGCCGCCGGGTCGAGAGGAGCGTGGCCTTCTCTCCCCGCCATGGTGAGTGGCTCCTTGCTTGGCTGGACTTTTCTCTGACCCTGGGGCCAGTAGGGAAGGATGCAGGGTTCAGGACACGAAGTCTGAAGGCGAAGACGCCAGCGGGAGAAAGAGATGAATGCCAAAGGCGTATGCTGCTGGCGGGGAGCAGGGTTGTGGAGCGGCACGGCAGCCATTTTAGACGCAACGTGGGGGCCCGGCCCGGGCCGCTGGAAAGTGATCGGAGAAGCCCGGGACCTCTGGCGGAGACCTTTAGGGTCCTGGCTGCCCTCCGACCTTAGAAAGTGTGGTTCTGCGGGAAACGAAAACCTTGGGGCCTAAGACCGAATTAGAGAGGATGCCTGGGCCTTGCATATTGGTGTGTTGTCTGTAAAGATACTCGTTCATTTAAGCTGCAGTGTTTGTTGTAAAAGATCATTGTTAATTTCCCCCTTGGATCTTTGCCTGCATAGCTTTGGAACTTTATGCTGAAGCTTTCTGATTCTTTTCCCTTTAAGAATTGTTTTACTCGGTGCCATAAGTGTTTTGAGTTCTCAGCCAGCGCCCAGCACGGCTTTTCTGTGTGCAGCGCTCCGGTAGAGTGGACGGAGCCGATCGCTGCTGAGCTGGAGTAAACACCTAGTAGAGTAGCAGCGTTCAGCCGTGCTAAATGTGGAGACTTGTACAGCTGGAGAGGAGGCAGTGGTTCATTTCTAAACAGTGATGAGAGAAAGCGGCCTGAAGCATGCGAAGATAATTCTAGGGGAGGCCTTCAGGTGAAGACCTGGTGAAATTCTAAGTGTTTCGAGTGTAAGAGTTTATTGAGGAACTAATACAGGCCTGCTAGTGGAATTTGTAGCTTAGGTGTTTGACTGATGTTTCGACTTTAAGCATTCACCTGACCGTACTGTGTTGTGTAACATTTGACAGAACCCGGAGAGTTGCTTCTCATATGTGTCTCTTTCCCCTCCAAGGCTTGTGCTCGTCCCCTGATATCAGTGTACTCCGAAAAGGGAGAGTCGTCCGGCAAAAATGTCACTTTGCCTGCTGTGTTCAAGGCTCCCATTCGACCAGATATTGTGAACTTTGTTCACACCAATTTGCGGAAAAACAACCGGCAGCCCTATGCTGTCAGCGAATTAGCAGGTATGGATTTGCATTTTTCTCGGGATGGTGTTTTAAGGCCCATTCACAGTCGTGATGAGATTCCACTCCATTGGTCCGTGTTTCTGAACCACATGATTTTCTTGGATGCTCTGATGCTGTCTGTTACCATGCATAAGTCATAGCTTGGGCAACTACACAGCTAAAAGCTTTTTCTTCCCAATTTTAGGTCATCAGACCAGTGCTGAGTCTTGGGGGACTGGCAGAGCTGTGGCCCGAATTCCCAGAGTTCGTGGTGGTGGAACGCACCGCTCTGGCCAGGGTGCCTTTGGAAATGTATCCTTTGTTTCATGAGACTGGTTGTGGCTTGTGGAATTTAGCAGGCTGGAACGGGGCTGGTTCATATTAACATGTGCTGCAGCATCTGTGTCCAGAATGCTTAGTGTCCTCAGTAAAAAGATGTTTTTAAGGGATTCGCATAGGGAAGTGCTGCTTGCAATGATGTTGTAATTTGCGTCTTACTCTGTTCTCAGCGACAGTTGCCTGCTGTCAGTAAGCTGGTTCAGAAGATTGACGAAATTTGTTACTGAGCAAGATAATAGATATCTAATTCCTAAGCTACACTAAGTATGATTCTTAACTAAGAAAACAGATGTGTCGAGGGGGCCGCATGTTTGCACCAACCAAAACCTGGCGCCGCTGGCACCGCAGAGTGAACACAACTCAAAAGCGGTACGCCATCTGCTCGGCCCTGGCTGCCTCGGCTTTACCAGCACTGGTCATGTCAAAAGGTTGGTGATGGTTTTTCTGCATCAGAGTAGTGATTTCATCCCATGGTGTCCTGCTGTAAAGTGCCTATCACTAGCAAGGAATGTAGCTTAAAGCGAAATTCTTCCTTTTAAACTCCCCTTATGTTTCTTGTGGCATTTTTAAACTGAAAATGATGAAATTCCACATATTGGTCCGTGTTTCTGAAACACATGATATTTGTGGAAATTCTGATATAGTAAATCGCATGTCATTTTGCTTTTGTGGGTTATTGCTCAAGTGTTAAGTTTTTCAAAAACATTCAGATAACGAGGTCAGTCTTCAATTGACTTTATCAGGTCATCGAATTGAGGAAGTTCCTGAACTTCCTTTGGTGGTGGAAGATAAAGTTGAAGGTTACAAGAAGACTAAAGAGGCAGTTTTGCTTCTGAAGAAACTTAAGGCCTGGAATGATATCAAAAAGGTAGGTCCTTGTGCATATTTACAGTTGGGTAGGTTATGCTGTACCGTCTAGAGAATAATGGCAAGAAAAAAAGGTATACACATCCATTACAGACATGGTGCTTTTCAGAGTGTCTCTTTTGTAGATTTGGTTAGTTGGCTTGGGAGTGTAGAACTAGCAGATAGAGGACAGCTCAGCATAGCGTGCAATAGTGAGAGCTTTTTAACCAATCTCAACTTGGTTCAACTGCTGAGATCAGCCCCTAATATCAGAGCTACTGGCTTTGTAGGTCTACGCCTCTCAGCGAATGCGGGCTGGCAAGGGCAAGATGAGAAACCGCCGCCGGATCCAGCGCAAAGGCCCCTGCATCATCTATAATGAAGACAACGGTATCATCAAGGCCTTCAGAAACATCCCGGGTGAGTCTTCCCATTTGTGTTGCTTCTCTGTATGGTGCTCACACACTCAGCCTTGATGATGAGTTCCACTTCATGGTCCGTGTTTCTGAATTCGATGACGTTGCGGAAGTTCTGACATTGGCTGAATGAATTGCAGTACCATTGATTTTGAAACTTCACACATCATATAGGCCTTCCATACCTTAAGTAGCACTTCAGCCATAAAGATGATTTGTGAGCCTTCCTAATTCTCTTTTCCCTTTAAAGGCATTACTCTGCTGAATGTAAGCAAGCTGAATATTTTGAAGCTTGCTCCCGGTGGGCATGTGGGGCGTTTCTGCATCTGGACTGAAAGTGCTTTCCGGAAGTTAGATGAGTTGTATGGCACTTGGCGTAAAGCTGCTACCCTCAAGAGTCACTATAAGTGAGTGTTCTCATGTTCATACACAGGCTGTGTGTGTGTTTAAGCCGCATGTGGACATTGAGAAGCGGTTTGCATACTTCAAATGCTGGGTTGTGTTTTACATTTCTGATATAGCATGCTGCATTGTGCTGTACATATTCTGCAGTGTTGTTGTATAAGGAACATAGGGGAAATTCTTTGGGAGTTCTGAAGAATTCAATGGTTAAAAACTATTTAGGTTCGTGTTTGTTAGCTCTAAAAAGGGAGGATTCAGACCCATTATCAATCTCTCCCTCAGCCTTCCAATGCACAAGATGATCAATACAGACCTGAGCAGGATCTTGAAGAGTCCAGAGATCCAGAGAGCCCTGCGAGCACCACGGTAGACTTTGGGCACTTACTATAGAATTCTTCTCATAGAATTGTAATTCATAAAATTACTGTTTCAGCATTGTGCATAATGGAAATCAAATGTTGGTACATTGTCTGCCTTTCACAGCAAGAAGATTCATCGCAGAGTCCTAAAGAAGAATCCTCTGAAGAACCTGAGGATCATGCTGAAGCTGAACCCATATGCAAAGACCATGCGCCGGAACACCATTCTTCGGCAGGCCAGGAATGTAGGTGTTCGTTTGCTCTGTGATAGGTCAAAAAGAAAAATTTTAAAATTTTCTTAATTTTCTACCTAATTTGTTGCAGCACAAAATTCGTGTGACTAAAGCAGCTGCACGTGCGGCCAAATTGGAAGAGAAGAAGGCTGCTGGCAAGAAGCCTGTAGAAGAGAAGAAAGAAAAGAAGACTGGGGCTCCCAAGAAGCCCTTGAAGAAGTCTTTGGTGAAGAAAAAACCGGCAGCTGCCAAGAAACCAGCAGAAAAAAAACCTGCTGAAGAAAAGAAGCCTGCTGCATAAACTCAAATCCCATACAGGTGACATAAATTTGGACAGCTTATTTTGAATAAAGACCTGTTCAAAAAGGCAGTGAGAAATGTCGCTGTTGTATGAATCTTCATTAAAACATTTTCTAAATTATACTTTGTTCTCTTTCAAATCCAGTTTTTCTTAGACATCCTCCTTCAGGACTACCTGCCAAGTTGCCACCACACATAATTCCAGCCTTTAATTTGCACCATACCATACTTGTAGCAAAATGTACATTTGGTTCTCCCATTAAATGGAAGAGGGACCCTCCAAACACCAGCGCTGGAAACCTTTTGAAAATGACTCAGTTAAATGTAGGTGCTCTTCAGATCTTGGCCTGCAAGCTTTTGAAGTTCATGAGTATTTGATATTCGCAGTGACCTCAAGAGGGCGCAGATACTCTGTAGTTGAAGGTGCTGCGTTAAAAGTTCCATGGTACCCAAAAGTGTGTTACCTGATAGACCAGCTGGACATGTTACCAATGTGTTGACATTTAGTGCCATGCTGAAAAAGTCCTGGAAGCAACGTTCATGGATGTTGTAGTTTAGCCTGCCAGATGGGTGAGTTACTCATAATTGAGGAAAAGAACTACAAATGACATGTGCCCCTAAACTGCCCTGTGGCTTCTGCTCCCTACTGTTGTGAGTCTTGCCAGTGCAATTGGCTCATGCTGTCACTGCGAGTCGTTGGCAGAGTAAGAAACGGGTTGAGGGACTGGGGATTCAGCTCAGCGGCATAAGCGCCTGCCTTGCAGGCAGGCAGTCATGAGTTCAATCCCTGGTACCCATAAAAACGAAAAAGACAATTTAAATAAACGGGTTGAGTGGGGCCGGCCAGCAACTAATGCCAGGTCCAGTTCTGGGTTCTCAAGTAAGGGCCCGCGGTCATCAGCCTACTGCAGTCTTCCAAAAACGAGAATATTGAGGCCATGAGAAGGCCCTGGTGTACCTCCCTGGAGTCTGGGCCCCTGGTTTTGTTCTAGAAGTTGCCTCCATCGTCACCGCTGCAGACTGGACCCAAAAGAACGTGGGCCGACCGGCACCGCAGTAAACCCCGTTCCCTCTAATGGGACTAGTCAGGTTCTGTGCTTTAGCAAACATCACTTAGGCGTCCACACGTTTTGTCGCAAGGAAAGTGAACCCCCAGCAAAGCTAACAAGCCACAGCGCTCACCGGAAAAAACCGCCTCTGCCAAAGTGGCCGCTGAGCCGGAATTCTGGTGGGCGGTGCTACGTACGTCATCATTCGGCGCCGGGATCCTGGGGAGCAGGCGTGCTAAGCGACCATGCTGAGCCGGCTCCAGGAACTACGCAAGGAGGAGGAGACGCTGCTCCGGCTGAAGGCAGCCCTCCACGACCAGCTGAACCGCCTCAAGGTGAACCCGCCACCTTCCCTTGGACTTGCGCGACCGTCTCCCACGAACCCTGCCCTCCGGCGCGCTTGCTTCCCCGCTGCCGCTGCCTCCGAACTCGCCCGTCCCTCGCGGCCCCTATCTGTAGGTTTAAACTTCCCCTAGCAGAAGCAGCTGAGCACCCTCTGACCCTCGAAATCCGGGAATTGTTTGCCGCCCTGGCCATACGAATACTGACGGCCCCCGTGCGGAGAATGCGCTCCGCCCTGCCCCGCCCGCGCCCTCCGCAGCCCCTGAGCACTCGGGGTGGTTCCCCTGTCGCTTGACTGGAAAGGACTTTTCACATCCTTCCGTGTTGGAACGGAAATACTGGGCCCTGTGAATTTTGTCCCAGACTTCCCTGTAGTTTTTCTCGGAGCAGTTGCTGAACCCGTGGCTTGGGAGTCGAACTTAGACCCACTTTCTCTACCTGTGGGCGATCCAGCCAAGGTAGCATGGTCCCTGATCTCTGATCAGCATCCTTTTTTTTAAGAGGAAAAAGAGAAAAACACAAAACAAAGCGGTGTAAGGGTACACGTAACTTTGAAGGCAGTAAGATTCACTTAGATGCCCATTCAGGTTTAACAATTGTCTCCTTTGGAAGTCCTGTAATGTTTACAATGCCTAAGTTTTATTGGTCTTGTTCTCTACTGTTTTGTCCAGCTTTATAATATCTAATGAGATAGACAATTCTTTTTAAGGAAGCAAGAGACAACGTTGATAACCATTGTTGATAACCTTGTACTCTGTTCTACATCATGTGCTATGTCTATCCTTGGTTTTGACTGACAGCTTTGTTTTGCCATATTGGAATTTATTCTCTCCCCCCCAAAAAAGTAATAAGAACTAAGGAGTAACAAAAGCCAAAATGTGTAAATTTTGTTGTAAAAAAGAGAGGGGAAAAAAAAGAGCTCTAACGGATATAACAGCAAGTGTGTTTAGGGGTGTTAAATAGCTGACTATATTAATGTTTTTGGATCATTGAACACAGCTGTTTGCAGACTCTCTGTTTGAATGTCCACTTTGTATTCTTTGATACTATGATTTGAGCAACCATTTCCAAGATGATAATCTCAGCATCCTTTTTGAGGATCTTTATAATCCCTTTGTAAGCTGAAAAATGAAGGTTCTGTAACTGTGACGTCGAAATAATGAGCATTTTCCCTCAGGGTAGTAATAATTGCAGAAGTAGCCCCACAAATAACTGATTATTGAGTTGATGCCCTCGTAAAACTCAGAATCACTCATCCTCCAGGCAATACCTTCATTTCCTGTTCCTGCTTCACTTATCACTGTAAATAAGTTCAGGTCTATGAAATTCAGTGCCCTCTGTACAGCCAGAAAGTAACTTGAACCCAGGACCTTTACACTGAGCAATAAGACCAGACCTTTGTGTTTTTTAATTATTTTTTTGGTACCAGGGATCGCACTTACAAGTTCCTGCTTGCCAGGCAGGCAACGCCACTGAGCTAAATCCCCAGCCCCAGCCCTTTTATTGTATGTGTATGATTTTTTTTTTTGTTTTTTGAGACAGGCTAAGCTGAAATGAGGTCTTCCTGTGTTGGCCTCCCACAGTGCTGGGGTTACAGGCTTGCACCTCCGCTCCCAACTACACCTGGCTTTTTAATGGTACACTTGCATATCTTCTGAGAGCTGTTAGGTCTAAGAGAATAGAAGCTGTGATTTAACTGGAACACCTGGACAGTCCAAGGAAAAGGGGTTCCTTAAGTCTTTGTTCATCTCCTTAAAAGGCAAGGAAAGCCAAACCCCAACCCTCAACAGCATAACCATTATAGTCTCTGCTCTTACCATGATACCTGCTGTTTACTGCATCCCAAGGAAATTGCTTTATGAGCCCAATGAAATACTGTACTAAGGAAGGTGTCCTTCACTATTTTCCTAGGTTGAAGAATTGGCCCTCCGGTCAATGATCAGCTCTACAGGGGATGATGGGAAGGTGTCTTCTCACCCGGCACCTGAACAGACACAGGATGTAAGCCCCATCAAGTACAGACCCAGGAGAGAATGCAAAGCCTGCTCTGATCCTTACTGCTTTTTCAGAAATTGTGGTAAAATACATTACCAAACCCAGAGGACTCTGGGAAGTGCCAGGATGCTGGGGATTAAACCCAGGGCCCTGAGGATGGTAGGCTGCAGCCTTCGATCAGAATTTTCAAGTCTGATTAGCTGGCTACTCTCTATTAGTTGTTTATACTGGAAATATTCATAGGTAAATAGATAAACCTTGAGACTATAATATTAAAATCAAACACGAAAGTATAAGTATCACATGGTTTCTCTCATATGAGAAACCCAAAGTACAAACGAAGTACAAAGTGAAAGAGGCAGTAAGGAGATCTTTTTCAAATGAAAGGGGGAACGAGAGTTGGAGGAGAAAGGGACGAATGAAAGAACTGGGAGAAAAAATGGAGAACTTTAAGGAAGCGGGGACCAAGAGATAGAGCAAATGAGGAGGGGACAAAAGAAGAATTCAGATGTGTTGTGTACATGTACAGATTCCCCATGATGAACAGAATCATTATGGGCTGCAACCATGGGCTAATAAACATAAAAATGTGAAAACTATCTGAAGAAGAGTTGGCTGCTTTGAAGCCAGTATCCTGCCTCATCTCTGATGTCCTTGGTAACACAGGTGTTGGTGCATGTTGACAATGAAGCATCCATCAACCAGACGGCGCTGGAGTTGAGCATGCGGCCAAATATGATGGAGGAAGAGGAGGAAGAAGAGGAGGAATCAGATTCCTGACTGGGACAGGAGTCTGAATTAATTACGGAAATTCAATTTCAGGGTCACAGACACTTTCTTCATAGAGATCACCCTGCATGGGCCTTCAGCCTACTTGAGAAGAACTATGGGAGGAGGTGTGTGTTCAGACAGCTTCAGAGTGGCATGTGTGACTCAATGACAGAATCTGGGCTGAGACTGCAGCTCCCTGGTAAGCGCCTACCTCACATGTGTGAGGCTTGGGTTCAGTCCCTGGCATTGAGGAGAAACTGGTGTGGGAAAGGAGAGATATGCTGTCTTAACACACAGCCATTCGATAGTACAGTGTAATCTGGTGAGATTCAGTGTTGCTTGTCACAGACAAATGTCTTCTGAAATACAACTGAGGAAGTCTGGCACTTGGAAAAAGAAGGGCTGGGCTGAAAAACAAACTGGCTTCCCAGGAATAATGCCTGTATTAAGAAAAGCAGTCAAGGCCAGGGATATAGCTCAGCTGCACAGCACCTGCCTGGCAAGCACCACGGCGAAAGTTCAATTCCTGGTACTGAAAAAAAAAAAAAAGAAAAAAACCAAGTGAGTTAGGGGGCACAGGCTGCCACCCCCACTCCTGACACACTGCTCCTATGCTGCACAACCCGTGCTGGAAAAAGGTGCTTAAATGAATTACCGGTCAGCAGCTGTCCCGGAGCTTGCCGGCTTCCAGACACAGAGCAGCAATTCTTCCTCCGAGTATAACAGAAGGCTGCAGACCCACTTCTGACACAGGAGAAATGTGCCATTAAAGAATAGATGCAAAAAAAAATAGATGCCTATGGATGAGAGGTTGAGTTTTTGTAATAAAGAGATGACAGCTATAAAGGAAGAGTTGTTGAGACTGGTATTTAAAGTTGAGATTTAGCCAGGCACAGTGGTGCACGCCTCTAATCCCAATACTCAGGAGGCTGAGGCAGGAGGATTGCCACAAATTTGAAGCCAGCCTGGGCTACACGGTTCAAGGCCATTCTGAACCATGGAGCAAGGCCCTGTCTCCAAAAAAAAAAAAAAGTTGAGATTAATTTCTATATATATTGTCCTTTTCTACTCACACAGTCACTTAAATCCCTCTGCCCAAGCAACAGAAGTGCCAAGTAAAATACCCAAGACCCTCCACAGAATATGCTGTTCAGGAAAAACATAAGCACACTGTTTTTATTTTGCCAGTCCACATTTCCTCAAAGTCCCTATAAGCTGTTCTTACAGGGAACTGCTACATGTAAAGGAAAGGAGTGTGATCTCTGAAATGTGTAAGTGTGGGTTGGGGGGGTCACTTGTCCTTGCCACTGTACAGCTGTGGCTTTCCCACCTGTAAAGCGGGTGTTACAAGGGGCCCAACAAGGTACCATTTAAAACTATTAGACCCAGGCACAGTGGTACACACCTGTTACCACAGGCTGAGGCAGGAGGGTCACCAAGTTCACAGCCAGCCTCAGCTACATAGTGAGATCCTGTATACAAAAACAAAACAACAACAAAAAAAAAAAACCACTGTTACAAATGTTTCAATTAGGGCCTGGGGATTTAGCTCAGCGGCGTAAGCGCCTGCCTTGCAAGCAGGCAGTCGTGAGTTTGATCCCTGGTACCGATAAAAACAAAAAAGACAAACAAATGTTTCAATAGAAGGAGGTTTGAGAACAGAATCTAGGCTGGGAATTTGGCTCACCATGCCTGCCTGGCAAGCACGAGGTCATGAGTTCAATCCCTGGTACCAAAAAAAGAGAATAGAATCTCACAAGGACAAATCAGAACACTGCAAGACATGTTCGGAGCATCATTCTCAAAAATAAGATCATTCTTGGTAGGAATCACTGGAAAAAAACTTTTGAGTCTCAAAATATAATACTTTGGGACAGTGAATAAAGAAGTAATTATTTGAAACGGTCTTATTATGTAGCCCAGGCTGACCCTGAGCTCACAGCAGCATTCCTGCCTCAGCCTCCCGAGGGCTGGGATTACAGAAGTGCATCACACTGCCTAGGAGTAGAAAATTTTAAACATCCCTCAAAGGCACCAACCAAGCAAGCATTCAAATCTTGGTGTTAGATTACAGTAATCCTAGTAAGGATATGGTTCATTTGTTTTGTTTATGGTGCTAGGGATGGAACCTGAACCACTGAACTACATTCCCAACCCTTTTTATTTTGAACCAGGCTCCCTGGTTGCCCAGGGCAGTCGCCGTGCATCAGCCTCCCACGTAGCTGTGGTTAAAGCCTATGCCACTCCATCGGGTCCAGTTTGTTCATTTAAGACATTTTCAGCACGGGTGGCACCCTGTCTTCATTAGTAAGATGCAGGGCATAGGTTTTTCACTTCAGCCTGAATGTTTCTGTTGGAAAACCGTAGGTTCGCGTGTTGAGTCAGAACGGCTGGCTTGTCCCTGAATCCCAGCAGTATCCATCACTCTGGCAGCTTAAGGGTGACTACTTAGTCAAGACAGTACCCAGGTTCTAGTTTTCTTCTTAAATGAAACTAGCTTTCTCTTTGTTATTCTTTAGCTAGAGTTTCTTTGTGTAGTCCAGGGTGGCCTCAGACTCACGGTGATCCTCCTGTTTCAGCATCCAGAGTGTCAGGATGTCAGGACTGCCGAGCTTTAATTCTACATACAAAAAGGCTTTGGTTTTCTAAAACCTGCCTCTTCTTTCACGAAAAAAAAAAAAGAGCAGAGAAACTGAACACGCAGCCCCATATGTTTCTTAAGTTCTAGAAGCCATTTTGCAAAGCAGGATAGGACCCCAGTGGCTGTAGGACATAGCTTCATCCTTGGGCTTCACTGCCACCTCCCAGGCCTGATGGTGGCCCTGAAGGACTTGTCCCTGGGAGGGGCGGCTGAAGTGCCTGCCTTCAGGAACTTCAGCTGGAGCCAGCAGGGTAATGAAAGGAAGGCACATGTGAGAAACGCTTTGGGATTTTCAGACTCCTCAACTCTCACCTGGATAAACAGACAGCAGGGAAAAGTTGGCCCTGGAATGCTGGGGACAGAGAAGGGTGCTGCCTGGAATCCCAGGATGCTGTCACTGCCCTGACCCTGGCCGTGAGGCCGTTGGCCTCTTCCTGGTCACCCTGCAACAATGCCTGGCACACTTGTCACTTTTACATTGGAGAGACTAAGAAGCCCACCACAAAGGAGAAATAGCTTTTGTCCTTTTTAAAATCTGACAGTATATTTATTAGAATAAGAGATTAGATTTGTTAAACATCTGGATTAAAGTGATTAAAAGGATCTTCATACAATCTTTAGGCACTATACACATTGTTTACAATAGCATTGGTATTTGGATTGGGAAGAAGGTAGAAATCTGACACATTTAATGCCTTGATCCATTTGTGACATTCAAAATAAATCCATTCTTTTAGAAACACTAGTCCAAACCTAAAGAGACACATACCACTAAGTACCCACATGGCATATTTAAAAATAAATACAGACCCGACCCAAAGTCTCCAGATCACCAGGTATAGACTGGTGAAGCCCCAGCTCCCATGGCAGTGAGGGGCTCTGGCTAGATTTTGAGGAAATTCCTGAATTCTACACCAAAAGCAAAAAAATGAACACAATGTCCACTTTCTGAGGATGCTCAAGTCACAGCAGCACAGCATGCGTCACTTGCACTGCCAAGGACAAGGGCCCAGAGGCCTCCCTCTCTGCTGAGGAGATGCCCTGGCAGGGGAAGTGCCACCAGACATCCCCAAGTCTGGAGACACTGGAGGCAACAGGCCAGCCACATGGAGTGAGAACAGTGACAACCACATCACCAAGTGTCACTGTTCAGCTCTGCGTGTGTGTGATCATCAGCACAAACAGCCCTAAGCACAAAGCAAATCCACTCGGGTGACACGGTGGCAATAAAGACTGAAAAGGAACACAAATACAGCTTGGCACATGCTGTGTCTGCACCCTGGTCGGAGGTGAAACGCACGTCTGAAGAGAAGCGAGGGAGAGGCCAGAGCATAGCGGCTGCTGGCAGAGCACGTCTGGGCCGGGCCGCAGCTCAGATGCTGGCCACGTGGGTCGGGGTACTGGGCTGGTTAAGGCCGATGGTGGCACAGAGCCAACCTGCGAAGTCCACCTCCTCAGCATCAGAGCGCTTGATGAAGGCATGAACCTGTGTGTGAGCACAGGGAGAGGACATGGGGTTATAAGGGCCACCAAGAGGGGAAACAGGCTCACAGCCGAGCAGCAGTAGAACCCATGCAGACCATGTGGCCCTGCCTTCTGTGCTGGGCAGACGGAAGGCAGTACACAGAGGCGGCCAGAGTGTGCCTCAGGAGCCTGTCAGTGCCAGGTAGGGCCCACAGGGCCGTTCTCAGCCCCTCCATCAGCCAGGAGCAGGGTCCCCAGCTCCTGCAGACTGATACACAGAGAAGCAGAGAGCTCTGCTGGAAACCCTGCAGCCCAGCCCAGAAGCCTTAGGCCAAGGTTGAGGAGGAGACCAAGTGCAGAAGCAGGCACGGGGAGAGTCTGGAACAAATGGCCTTACCATGAGCTGCTTCAAGTCTGCTCTCTCCGCAGGGTTCTTTATTAAGCTGAAAGGAAGACAGGTCATGAGTGCTCCGGGCTGCGCCAGCTCTGGTTCACACTGGTCTGCAATCGCAGGTCCAGTAAGGTGCCAGGGGCTGGCCTGCACCTAAGAGCCCGAGGCTGGAAGATTTGGAGCCTGGCCTGGAAACACAAGGAGACCCTGCCCCTCCCCACAAAGAGCCACCCCTGTAGAACAGGCACTAAAGCAGCAGCCATAGTCCAAGGCCTAAGTCCCAGCACTTGGCAACAAAGCTCTGGTGGCAGCAGCTGGAGGAAGTGCCCGGCACACTGTGCCCAGCAGAAGCGAAACTGGTGGTCTCAGGAATGAGGCAGGAATTTCTGACTTATTGTGTAATTTCTGACTTATTTGTGGTGCTGGGAGTGAACCCAGGGCCTTCTATATGCCAGGCACATGAAACACGCAAGCTCCACCAAGAGCCCCCGGTCCCCTGCCAGAGAAGGGGCACACTTACCATTTATTTACAAAGTCCTGGAATTCCAGACTGAAGACTCCACTGGGCAGTTTGGGAGGTGGCTGCAAACACAGGGGAGGTGTGAAAAACGCCCAGCTGCCCTCCTCAACATCCCCTGCCCAGCCACCCTGCTGTGCCTCGGCAGTGCCATCCCTACAAAGTCGCGGCTGTCTCAAGGCGCGGTGAGAGCTGAAAGCACACTGTCTGATGACTGAATAAATCCCCGTTCCTCTGCATGCCTCGGTTCTGTTTATTCTTATGAAACAAGGAACGTGTGCCCACTGACCTCTACCACAGCTCTAACAGGGTGGCTGGCATGGAGCTGTCACCAGCAGTTTCTATCAGGAGCAGCCACTGGATGTGCACACCACCAGGCAGCTGAGGCTGGGGGAGGGGGTGTTAATAAAGCGCCATCTGGCAGAAGGCTAGGCCTGAGAGGACATGGCTGCAGCCACAGACCTGCCTTCCTAATACACAATGCAAGGACAGCAATGCTCTACTGCATGGCTCCAGGAAATGCACGTCCACTGTGACCTGGGCCTGGAGCTGTGCATCACTTCACTGGGAGCAGCTGACCTCTAACAGGGCCTAGGATGACACCACTCTGATGTGGAAACTCAAATCAACAAAATGAAACATTAGCTTGGTGCAGCAGTTTGCACCTATAATCTCAGTTCTAGGGGAGGCTGAGGCAGGAGGAGTTCCAGGCCAGTATGCACAACACAGTGAAATTCCCATCTCAAGAAACAAGGACTGACACCTCTTACTAAAAAGCCTGGCCTCATCTCCTCTGCTGAATGAAGGTCTTGTCCTGATCTGAGGTCTGAGGTCTGACCACAAACCACTCAGCACCAAGTGCCCTGCAGGCCATCCTTGCTGCTGAAGTAGAAGGGACAGGTTCCAGACCAGGGAGGGCTGTGTCCGGGGCCCACAGGTAGTAAGGAAGAGGACAGCAGGGGCGAAGGCCCTGAGCAGATGTTTGCCAGGGAGCCTCGGTTTCCTCACCTGTGCACTCAGGGCACCGAGTAGCAGCGCGCGTGTGTGCAGTGCAGGGAACACTGTGCCATCACTCACAGGGTGGCCGCGCACGTCCCCCACACCCCCTCCCTCCACAGGGCTCTGCCTCACTCTATCCGCGTACTTGGCACAGCGATGTGGATTCCGGGTGTGCTAACTCGCTAGCACACCGCGCCCTCCAGGCAAACCAGGCTTTTCGTTGTTGAGTTTATAGTGTACTAGGGGACCTTTATGAGCCTGTTAGGTCTGGTTTCATGCAACAGTAAGAAAGTCTTGAGGAAGACAGGATTGGGGTGCTACCCTGTATCTAAGACTCCAGCCAGCCAGGGGCCCAGCTGCCTCCAAGTGCACCAGAACCTGTCCCTTCCCAGACTGAGCCACCTGTCTCTTGCTAAACCCTGCACCAGCCCAGCCCAGCCCTTCCAGAGGTGAAGGGCGCTTTCTAAAACAGCCACTGATCCCCGTGCAGTGCAGTTCCCTGGAGTGTCTTCAAAAAGCAGCACAGAAACTTTCAAACCTAGCAGCCGTCCTCACCTCGTTGACTATGTAATCCAACAGCTCGAAAATCGCCATGGGAGGCCGGCTGTCCATTCCATATGCTACAGGTTTCATAAAAAGAAGAAAAACACTTGAAACAGACAGGTGGCTACATGTCATCAGGAGGCAAAGCACAGGAGAACAAGCAGGACACAGGCCCCCAATAGCCTCACACACTTTGGGCTTGCCACATTCTAGGTTTGCACGCTTCAGCGAGTCAGCTGACTGCTGAAGCAGCGCACTGGTGTTTAAAGCGAAATGGGCAGTGATTCATGTGCATCTTCCTTCCTTACAGTGACAGGAGAGGTGAGAGCAGATCAGGACCAGAAGCTCAGCCTCCCCAGGACTGCCACCAGCCCCACAGGTCCCCTTGTACCCCCTCCACACGCCAACTGCCTGGGGGGACATCATCCAGGTAAAGACATATTTATCACTGAGGCAGGTAGCCCGCATGTGGCCTTGGTTGGAGGTTCTTTCTGAGGTGACAGAAATGTTCTAGAGAGAACAAGAGACAGCTACATAACAGAGGAGAACACTACAAACCACAGAACTCACGGCTGCATGTGCATGTATGTGTGCATGTGTACATGTATGTGTGTGCACATGTGCATGCACACCTGGGGAATGAACCCAGGGCCTCCGCACTGAGCAACACCAGCCTAGGCTGGACTCAAACCTAGGACCACAGAGAGCTGGCATTACAGGTATGTACCCCCCACACCCAACTCAACTCTATAAAGTGTCAATGTTATGTTACATGAATTTCAATAAAAAATGAATCCACACAATGTCATAATTAAAAAGTGACTGATATAACTGCCACGCACAGCACCTGGAACCAAGCAGGCACTCAGCAAATGGCAGGAGGCAGCTGGCCCAGCAGTCACTTCCCACCAACACCTGCTGACCTCTGCCCCGCCGTTCCTGACCGCAGCCTGGCATCCAGACGGGCACAGCCAGGTGTGGGGAGCACACCTATGACCCCAGCACCAGAGAGGCTAAGGCAGGAGGACCACCACAAGTTAAGGGCCAGCCTCTACTACATACCAAGATCCTCAAAACAAAACAGAGAGACAGGGCTGGCAGAAGATGCAGGGACCCAGCCGCTCCAAAGCCAGAAGGTAAAACTCTATCCCGAGCTGGAAGCACAGTAGCCACTCACAGCTCAGGGGTCTTCCGGGGGTCCTGGGCCTGGGCGGCATCTCAGCTGCATCTCCTTCCACCTGGCACCCGAACACCAGCTCCAGCTCCTTGGCATCTGGAGGGGGGATGGGGTACCTCCCAACCGCCATCTCCACCAGTGACAGTCCCATGCTCCAGATGTCCGACTGCACTGAGTAGTGTGTGCCCTGCAGTCTCTCTGGCTGCAGAAGAGACAAGAGACTCTAGTCAGTCACCTGGGCTGGCACCTGGGGGCTGGGGGCCCACAGCCGCACTGCCCTGCCTGACCCAGATGCAGGGCTGCCTGTCCAAAAAGCCTAGTGTGACAGGTTCATCTTTTTGCCTGAGGCTGAAATATAAAGCTTACGAAACATGGGTGGCAAATGGGTAGAGGAACAAAGGGTCCGAGGCCAAGAAAGCTGGGGTTGGGAAGCTCCTGGGGCCTAAGCCTGTTTCCTCTCTGTGAGATGGGCTGCTGCTAGTAGTAACGTAACAAACTACCCACCCTGCTCACTGGCATCTAGGAAGTAAAGGCAAATGAAAACGTATGCTGCACGCTGCAAATGGAGCAAAGATGAGCTGACATTCGTGGGAAGAGTCAAAGAGAACCAGGTACACAGGTTATCTGGAAGCATCATTTGTACCAAGCATTACAGTGCCTCAGGTAGCGCATGCATTTCAAGGACACTATAAAAACCCCTACTCGGACCACAGGACATTTATTTAGACCTTAAATGAACTTCTACCAGAGGATCTGTCATTCACTCTAACCCTGGACTACTCTGGACTGACCACCTAACCACGAAAACCCAACCACCGAACCCTGGATTGTAAGGACCAGGCCTAGGCACTGATGTGGGGCTTCAGAGCTGGCAACAGAGGGCAGGGCATATGCAGGATGGCCACACTATAAGGGCTGTGACAGGAACCAGAGTCAGCAGGAAGGACAGGCCAGGAAGGAGCCTGCACACAGGGTGGGGCAACTAGCTCCAGCCCTACCCTGTGAGATCACAGCTCTTCCCTGAAGCCAGGTTTGTGCATCAGTCCACTGTCTTTACAGGAGGGAGCACCTGACCACTCAAAGGAGACCAACAAATTTCCTCCCATCCCTCCTTCCAGCCATCTCTGCTCAGACCAGCCCGTCCAGCCTCCCTCCCCATTACCACATGCCACCACTTGCAGGGGGGTCTGCACACATCGTGCCAGACCCTCACCAACCCCGTCCCTGCTGAGTCCCACATCAGTCCCCAGGCTTTCAACATCAGCAGTGCTGGCTCTGCTCCACACAGTTCGCAGGCGTGGGGACAGCTACCAAGTGCTCTGGTAGGGTGGGGGCCAGCAGGATCAGGTGACTGGGAGACAACAGGGAGGTGGAGGAGGAACCATGGAAAGGCTAAGGAGCCTAGAGGACCACTGGCTGCTAGGGGCACAGAGAGCAGAAGGAGTCAGCAGTCAGTTTCTGCCCAGAAGCAGTAAGCATGGGGACAATCAGGCATGGAGCCGGGGCAGCTGGGACTAGAGCCCTTTAGATGAAGCCAGGCTGGGATAGTATATTCTCTCCTCATCAGTTAAAGCCCCAGTTACATGCTGCCCAGCCCTGTGACAGGCTGAGGTCATCTCACAGACACTGACCCTGGATACTGCCGGCCTCCTGTCACCTCTATCCCCAACCCAGCACCCAGCACAAGACTGGCTTCACGTGGCAGCTCCGTCTCCACCAAACCAACAGCCTCAGAATGGCCCTGCTGTGCATACCGACATGTAGGACCGGGTGCCCACAAAGGAGTTGGCCATGGAATCGATGAGCTGCCCGCTGACCCCAAAGTCACAGAGCTTGATCTCCCCGCGGGAGTTGACCAGGATGTTGGAGGGCTTGACATCTGCAGGGAAAGAGGGGGACAGTAGTGAGAGGGTGACACAGGCAGGCTGGGAGGGGAGCGCCTGGCTGAGGGTCCCAGAGCAGACTGTCCCTGGGAGGCAGCCCTCGCCCTGCACACACTGGACGTCCAAACCCTGTGGACCTCTTGTTCCAAGGCTGAAAGGAAGACATGGGATTAAGTGACCAGCGGCTGGAGAAGCAAGACAGAAAGACAAATTTCTACTCAGGATACCCAACTTGGCCAGTCAACAGGAAGGAGTCAGTTACCACAGTCAAGCTTTCAAAGCCAAGTATAGCAGTGCATGCCTGTCATCCTAGCACTCGGGAGGCTGAGGCAGGAGTACTGCATGAGTTCAAGGCCAGCCTGGACTACACAGTGAGTTCAAAGCCACCAGCCTGAGACATACTACAAGATCCTGTCTCAAAAAAAAAGAATAAAATAAAGTCTGTTTCTTCAGTCACTCCTCCCAGGGAGAGTGTCTGCAGCTGCATCAGAAGCGAGGCGGAGGAGCACAGATGACAAGACCTGCACCCCTGCTAAAACACAGACTAGAGACTAACAGTGCGTGTGCGCACACACACACACACCCCTGCCACATCCTGGGGACTGAACCAGGACCTGTGTAATGATCTGCACTCCACATTTTTTAATTCATGCAGGGAGGCAGCAATGACAAACTGGGCAAGTTCTGCTGTCAGGAAGCTTATGTTATTAGTGTGAGCAGACAGAGAAGAAATAAGCCAAGCAGCAGGGCTGGGGATTTAGCTCAGCGGCATAAGCACCTGCCTTGCAAGCAGGCGGTCGTGAGTTTGATCCCCGGTACCGATTTAAAAAAAAAAAAATAAGGCAAGCAGCAATGTGCAAGTCTATGAGCCACAAGGAAAACAAACACAGAGCCAGGTGTAAGCAGTGATGGGACCTCATAAGGACCAGGAAACGTGAAGCACACAGCCTTTGGGAGAATCACAGAGACTGACTGTGCCCTCCCCAAGCACCAGCGACACAGAGAGGGCAGTCCGTAACTGCTGGAGGAAGACACTGTCCTCATCCCCAGGGCCCAAGGTCACGTGTGTGGGAACGGAGCAGCATCAGGACAGGACATGCTGGCAGGTCATGCCTGCCAAGGCGTGTGCCATTGCCTCTGTGTGCAAGCAACAGGTGTCCTGGCTAAAGAGACCCATGGCCTGAGTTCAAGTTCCTGCTCTTCTCTGAGCTTGCAGTGCTGTTGGTCAGTACAGCGGTGTCAGCTGTGGCTCTCTCAGTGTCACAAGGGCAAACCAGGAGCTGCATCCACACTAAAAGGACACGGGGAGGTTCTGCTGCCCCTGGGATGACCTGCTCAATAAATGACCTGAGTTTTAACACAGGATATGGCAAGAGCCAGAGAAACAGGTTATGCTGAGGGAAGAGATCCAGCAGCAGGAGAGGAGGCAAGGGGGCAGGAAGGGCAGCAAAGAGGTGGTGCTGGGGAAGCTTTGGATCTGAGGCTCCCTGCCCTGATTCTTAGAGAACCATAAAATGGCCAGAGCAGCCCCATGTGACACACATGGACACTGAGCATCCACAACCAAGTTCCTTGCCAGAAGGAACCTCCTCACGGAAAGCAGCAGCACTCCACCCCAGAATACCTGGGTTAGAGCCCCACCAGCACAAGGCTGGTCTCCACAGTGGCCAGGACAGCCACACTGACCACTGGGCTCTGAGAAACTGCTACTCAAACCAGAAATGAGCTAAAATCCTCTTTCAACCCATTTCGGCTAATTCTGTCCCCCAGGAGGAAAGGAGGGTAAAAGGCCCAGCAGAGGAGACACATGGACCATAGATTCAAGGATCCAGCAAGCCAAGGCATTGCTGTTTGCACCTGGGTCACAGCTCAGCAAAAATCACCAGGTTTCCCTGGATTGGGGAGCATCAAGGCCAAGTCTTTCTAGAGCTGTTGCAGGAAGGGCACTCTGCTCTTGGTGAAGAAGATATCCTGCCCAAGGAAGAAGCCTCCGAGAGAATAAGCAAAGCAGAGCGGTGACTGCAGTCATATACTCCATCCTTCATCCCTGTCTTCAGACTTGCTGGTGACTCAAACCAACACAATCCCTCTTCTAATTCGTAATCTTGAATTCTGACACAACCAAAGAATTCTCACTAATCAATTATGTTGTATCAGATTTTGCTGGAACGTTGGCAAGGTAATGAGTCATGCATAAAAAATGACATTATGTTCCACTATACACTAGAGTCATTTACAGATAAGTCTCTTTCCCCTGGAAGCTACAATTCATTTATGAGCTGTCTTTATGGCCTCCATAGTGATTCATCCAGTATCTCGCACTTGGCAGGTATTCTATAAATATTTTACAAATATGAATTGCCTGTCTCAGATGAGGGAAGAGCCTTGCGGAGGACAAGCGTGAAGGAGCACGTACAGTAGCCACCTACGCCCCCCAAACACAAGAGGATGTAGAGAAAAGTGCTCTCCCAAGGGGCGCCGTCCTCGCGCCCGCCTGCAGTGGCAGCACACATGCTGCAGGCAGCAGGCAAACAGCACAGATGGCCCCACAGCCAAGGAGACACCCAGGGCGGCCCCGGGACCAGCTCTGGCATGAAATCCAGACAGGCCACCTGGAACTCGGCACTGAGGCCCTGGCTGCACCCAGCCTCCTCTGGACTGGCAAATGGTCACTTGGCATGACAGAACCCAGCTGAGGTCACTCCCTGGGGCAAGACACACAGGCTAGAGAGTGGGCACTGCCCAACTGGAGAGACTGATACTAGACAGCACCTGCCCACACCTGGTCTCCCACACACCATGCCTGCATCTCCTCTCACTAAGGCAGCAAGCTGCCCGCTGCAGCAGCTGCTTTTCTGCTCCGGTGACCACCTCCCACCGGGAGCAGCCCCAGCCCTGCCCCACTCAGGCCTGCAGGTTTTCCTCCTCAAAGGATTCTGAGCTTCCCCAGGATCCTTTTAATGACTAATTTCAAGAGGCCTACACAAAGTTTAAACCAGAAACCAAAGGTTATCTGTGACACAGGTAATCACCAAACCCTCTACCACCCTGTATGCCAGTAAGCAGCAGCTGACACTCACCAAGTGCCCACTAGGTGTCAAGTGCTACGCTAAGTGCTTTGATGCATTATCTTACTGAATCCTCCCACCCTTCAGGGAGGCCCTGGTTTCTCCATTTTCCTGATATTTGGGAAAGCTAAGTACTTCAGCCAAGGTTACATTAGTAAACAGCAGTCAAGACTTGAATCCTGGGCTTCACTGCTATGAAAGAGTGAAAACGTGGTTCAAAATATTCTGCACCCATCAGCAAGATCTGGAGTCTTCGTGCCACTTTTTGGTTCTTGGCTTGGCTATGCCACTTGCTTTGGCCAATAAAACATCAACATGCTGATAGAAGAGATGCTGAGGGATGCCAGTGTGCTGGGTACTGTATCTGCTATATTAGGACCATCGCCAGAAGAAGAAAGCATTAGCCTATGGGAAAAAGAGGTCCTGCCAGCCCCCAGAATGCTACAAAGTGTTGTTCTCAACCTCTCATCTTTTGTTGCACATCTGAAGGCCCAGCTCTTGGAAGGCTGAGGCACAAGTATCACAAGCTAGAGGCCAGCCTGGACTACGTGGTGAATTCAAAGCTAGCCTGAACTACATAGCAAACAAACAAACAAAAAAAGCTCAATTTTGAATGGTCTATCACATAGCAAAAGGTAACTGAAACAACCATGAAGTTCTTAGCAACAAATAAATATCAATCAATAAAAATAAAAATTTGAAAAAATAAAAATTTGAAATACAGACAAAAACCCCTATACTCTTCCTCATTTTTCCTGAAAGAATGAATGAGAAGAAATGGAATTCAAATTTCATCAGAACATTTTATAATTGGACCAGAGCTGGAACTTGCTGGCAGCAAGGAAGCCTACGGACAGAAAGACGCACCAGTCCCTCTCTAATTCGCGTCTCCAAGGATCAGCTCTCACCAGATTTTTTGCTCTGAGCCAGGCTCGGCCTTGTGGTTGACTTCTGCAGGGCTCCTGGAGAGTCCCAGGTGGCAGGAGCCAGAGCAGGCCAGCCACACGGGCACTGTTCAGCAGTCGGGGCTCCCCTGCAGGCCAGCCAGGTGATTCATGCTCCCCAAAGGGCAGGTAAGGGTGGGAGAGCACTGGGCAGAATGAGAAACAGAGAGCTGGCCAAGGAGGAGGTGTATCCTCTCCTCTCTACAGCAGAAATGAAGTTAGTGATCTCCACGGAAAAACAGCGTGGTCCACAGCAGGCACACAGTAGAGAAACACAAAAGCACCAAGACTAAGCAGGGCCTGTGCCAGAGACTAACGACATTACCAAAGGGTTTTTACCTTCCACAAAACAAAAGGCAAAAACAGAGGACCAACAGCCTCCGGGTTTCATCTGAAACACAAAACCTGTAACTACTATCAAGTGACTCCTTACCTCTGTGCATAATCTTGTGCTTCTCCCTCAGGTATGTCAGGCCTTTGATCACCTAGAGGAGAGGGAATGTAGAAAGAAAAGCTTTCAATCAACAACAGGAACAGATTTCACCTCCCTCTCCTTTATGTTTTCTTTGTTTATCTTTGGCAGTGCTGGGGACTGAACCCTGGGCCCCACATATGCTGGGCAGCCCTCAACAAGCTATATCCCCAGCCCTTTTTTTTGTCTGTTTGTTTAACTTAGTCAACTGCGTTATCAAACAACCATGTTTTACATGGTACATCACTTTGTTTGGGTTCTTTCTAGATAGGGTCTTAGTACATGTAGGCCACGTTGGCAGCAAACTCAAAATACTCCTGAGAGAGAGAGGAAAGGAGGGAGGGAGAGGGAGGGGAAAGGGGAGGGAGAGGGAGAGACAGAGAGAGAGACAGAGATAGAGAGAGATAGAGAGAAAGAGACAGGGAGAGACAGAGGCAGAGAGAGAAATAGACGGGGGGAGACGGACAGAGATAGAGACACAGAGAGAGGGAGAGAGAGAGGGGGAGAGGGGTAGGGAGAGAGAGAGACAGAGACAGAGAGAGACAGAGAGAGAGATTGATTCCTGTCTCAGCCTCCCAAGTGCTGGGTTTACAAGTTTAAATAACTTTTAAAACACTATGTGTTGGGGGACTGGGGATTTAGCTCAGCAGCACAAGCACATGCCTTGTAAGCAGGCGGTTGAGTTCGATCCCTGGTACCGGTAAAAATGAAAAAGGAAAAGAAAAAAAAAAACACTATGTGTTGGGGCTGGGGATTTAGCTCAGCAGCATAAGCGTCTGCCTCGCAAGCAGGCAGTTGTGAGTTCGATCCCCGGTACCGATAAAAAGGAAAAAGACAAAAAGAAAAAAAAAAGAAAACACTATGTGTGAATTTTTATTTTTGTAAATCTATAATTTTAAAAAGCTCTGGTAGTTAAAATGGGAACATTCTCAGATACTTTGTCCAATTTTTCAGACATAGATTTTAATATAAAAAAGTCGCTTTTCTTATTCTAATGAGAAATAAGACTCTATCTAGGTTGTAGACAGAGAAAACACCAGTGAGAACACCCACACGCGCCTTTTTGGGTTGTTTCGGCTTAGTTTTGTTTTTTGTTTGGTTCAGCTTTGGTTTTCTGAGACAGGGTCTCACTACTGTAACCCAGGCTGGCATCGAACTCAAGGGATCTTCCTTCCTCAGCCTCCCAAGTGCTGAGGTTACAGACATGCAACCACTCAGCATGGTTTGGTTCTGAGACAGAGTCTCACTAAGCTCTCCATGCTGGCTTTGAACTCATAGCTCACCGTGAAGCCGAAGCTGACCTGAGGAACACTCCTGCTGCAATCTCCCACAAGCTAGGACCACAGCTGTGTGCCACCACGCCTGCCTGGCTAACAAATGCCTCTTTAAAAATAAATCTTCCCTCCCTTTACTTCCTACCTTTCCCCTCACCTATTTTCTACAAAGTCGTATCAGCAAAAGAACCTGGAAGAAAAACTTCATAACATACTCACAGCAATGCTAACTTTTCCTAAAATTTGCTCAGGAATTCTTCCAGCTTTCTTCAGGACTTGATCCAAGGAACCTCCATCCTAGGAACAAAAATGCTGGGCCATTTAGTGACAACATTTTCTCATTTCAAGTGTTAAACTGCAGGAGGAAAGTAAACTAATATTCCCAGGAGGTACACTGCTCTCCAGGCCTGACCACTTCCCTGAGCAAATACATACTCACCGGGCTCTTGGAAGGATTCAGCAAGCTAACACACACAAAGCATGCAGCACGGAGCAGCATGGAGCCCAAAACAGACACTCAATAAATGTTAGCATTTGATCATACTGTTTTCATCACAACTTGAATTTGGCATTCCCCTAACAAATTATAATTAACAAAATCCAAAGACTAATATCATGATTCATTCTATAAACAAAGTGCACTGGACTAGGTTAGCTTCCACAGAGAGCAGAGATACACAAATTATCATATCCTCAGTAAACTTAATAACTGATACAATAAAACTGAAGGTGCATAAGATGCTGTAAACATAAAAAAGAAGGGAGCAGTAGTTCTGACTGAACTCTGAAGACAGCATTTAAGGTGAAATCTGTTTTGAGACGGGGGCTCATTCCATAATTCAGGCTGGTCTTGAGTTCACTCAGTAGCCCAGACTGACCTCAAACTCACAGCGATCCTCCTGCCTCCACCTCCCAAGTACTGGGATTGTAAGAGTGCAACACCACATCCAGCTTGAGCTGAAATCTTATGAATCAGCCCTGGTTTTTGCAGCTAGAAAATAGGAGCAGCATGGTAAGAAAAGAACAGAACAGGGTATTTCGATAAGATCAAAAGCAGAGGAGCATTACATGGCCTCACACTCCTGAGACAGCAAGTATTTTGCTTCACTACAGCTCACAGCAGGAGGAGAGGGAGAGGCAGGAAGAGAAGAGGGAAGGGAAGAGGGGAGGGAGGAAGAGGAAGAAGGGACTACAGGGGATGACAGATCACACCCTTTCTTAAATCCACTTCTGAAGCAAGGCGGGGGACAGAGAGGACGCAATTCCTAGGCAAAGTGGTGAAGCAGAAGTCACTAGACAGGAGTGGCACAGAGCCAAGCCTTGGGGATAGGTAGAAAACAGCTCCCAGTATCCCAGGCAACATCGCTCAGCCTCTGTGATGGGCCTGGTGTGAAAGACAAAGGAAAGGAAGAGCAGAAGACCTTGCCCTCAAAAATGAAACAAAACCAAAAAATATAATTAAGGTTACCTCCAATCCAGGCCACAGGGATTTCTGTTACACCAGTTTCTTCTTTGTGCTTTTTACAGTTTATAAATTTTCTACAATGAGTAAATGTTTTACTTCTTTAAATTCCTAAACTAGAGGCTGAGCATGCAGCTCAGCATACAGCACTTGCAAAGCATGTGTGAGGCTGGGGTTCAAACCCCAGCACTGTCAAAACAAACAAACAAAATCACTAAGCTAATTTATCAAACTAGAAAATTTAATCTATAAATCAGGTAACACACACTGAGTACCCCCATTCTGTACAAAGGCTGTGTTAAGTAAATACAAAACTGGGTTTTTTTCTAGAAGTGAGACTCATTAAAGGACATGGACCTCCTAAGATATGCTATCTGAATCAATGCTAAAAACAGGTTAGCAACTAAAAAAATCTTATGCTTAAAAAAAGATAAATTTGAGCCAATCAGTTTCTGGTACCCGCAGGCACTGATGCCAACAAGGAAATAGGACACAGGCTGGCTGGCCCCTCAAACACGACGCTTCCACCTGGCACACAGCACCAAGGGCACACACTGTCAAAACGCACACAGAAGTCTCAAAGACTCATAGGCTTCTCCACACAAATAGGAGAACAGATCGTGAATCTACAGCCTAAAGCGCTGCTCTGTAAGCAGCTGCTCTCCCCTGAGCCCTGGGGGACCTCTCTGCAGGCCAAGCCAGTCTGGGAGGCCTGGCTGCCCACGCAGTGCCACAGGCCCCCCTGGCCCAAGCGGAGAACACCACAGCCCAGGTCACCAAGCTGGGCAAGCCGGCTCCCAGACGCCAGAGCAGCCCTGACCAGCCTTCACCATGGGAAGAGGGGCTCGGGGCAGCAAGTCCTGAGCTATTTCTGCACTGTCACCAAATGAAAATACTGGCAGCTCCTCTGTGTACACGGCTTTGCCTCATCACAAAGGAGGATTAGATATTTAAAACAAGATAACAAATCCACTCTGTCAAAGCTTCATTCCAAAGAAGCAGAAAACCTAACCCTGTGGTTTTGAAGCTCCTTTCTCTATCTAGGCAATGAATAACAAAACGCTCCACCAACTGCCAATGGAAGCCGGGCAGAGGGAAGCCCAGCTCACTGAGTATGTGCTGCTGTCCTGGGGCTTGGTTATACACAGAGTCCTATAAAGGGGTGGAGAATGGAGCCCAGGAGTACACTAGTTACCCATCCCAGCACCAGAAAAACCCCACCAAAAACATTAGATTTAGAAGGAAGAAACAGCTGGTGCACACCTGTGATCCCAGCACTCTGGAGGCTGAAGCAGGAGGATCAGCCTGAATTGTGCAGTGAAACCTGTCTCAGAATAACCAAAATCAAAACCAAAAAAAAAACCAAAAAAACACCAGGCCTCTTGTGCTTAACCTCCTGAACTTAACAGCAGAGCTGCAGAGAAGACAACGGAGTCAGCAGGATGTCAGGGTCACCCAGAGCCGCCTGCAACTAACTCTAGGTCCTGAAATAATAACTTGCTGCCTTCTGCCTTCCTTCACTGACAGAGCTGCTAAGTGTTGCTTATTTTTAGAAGCCAATTATTAGCTATGTCAATGGCACTCTTGTGAAGGTTTTCTATAGAAGAGACATATGCCTTATGAAAATAATAGCTCAAAAGCTTTTTTCCTGCATAAGAACCACAGACTCCAGTCTCCTGTTCCCTGGTTGCTCAGCTACCACTTGGGCAAGAATCTACTTCCCAAAGAAACGCGTTATTTTCCATGAGACACATCACATCCCTCAGGCCTAGCTGCAAACACAGCTCACTGCTGCACAAGGCCAGCTCAGTTGGACCTCCGGGAGACGGGCTCAAAGTACGTTGAGGCTGTGGCTGACTTTCAAATGCATCCTGAACACTGTGAGCAATGATTAGACAGTCGATGCAGCAAAATGCCAGCAGCAGGCTTGAGGGGGTGGGCTCATGGGAGCACAGTATACAATCCCTTCAGCTGTCTGCACGCTTGCAGGGTTCACCATAACCCAGTGGAGCCAAGTGTGAACACCATGCAAAGACGATGGTGGGGGCCCAAAGCCCCTCAGAAGCTGGGAGGGGGCACCTGCTGAGTAGCGTGCTCCACACAACACCAATTGGGAAACGCTGAGCACATCCCCTGAAGAAGAAAGCCTGAGAAAAGTGGCCGCCCACAGACAGAGAGCTTCCCAGGCAGGACAGCTGGGCAAGGCTCTGCCACAGAGCAGCCTGCTCAGGAACCAAAGAAGAGAGGACAGAAAGCTATGGTCACAGCTGCAGTGTTCCATGGGGGAAAGATTATCCACAGCTGCGAGAAATGGACCAGAAAGCCCTGAATGGCCAGTGTAGTCTTCTGCTAGAGAAGACTAAGGAAGGACACAGCAAGAATACACAGGACACGATTCATGTCTATGAATCCAGCGTGAATAAGCATAATTTTCTCAGGAGAGATCAAGGTAAGACAAGTAAGACCACCCCACCCTCTGGAGGAGTATACGCAGGTGGGTAAACGAGTTCCAGCAGGGTCTGAAGGTAGGCAAACACTTCAGCCAAACTCTGAGGCCAGCACCCTGCAACTGCACCACACTGGCCCAAGTGTCTCCTGGTTCCGTGTGACATAGGGAGAAGTCTGGGCACTCCAGACCCTGGCAGCAGCTCAGGAGAGACTACGAGCAGGCCTGAAGTGACACACGGCTGGTGCTCAGGCACGCTGTGTCCACTCTGCCATTCTGTGAGCACTGCTCCCAACGCCTCTGCCCCCTGCACAGACCAGACTAAAAGGAAGTGTGTGTGAAGGTAAGTCCATGGCATCAGCTAAAGTAAACCCTGCCAACCCTGTCCCTGACTGTCAGGTGCGGGAACAAACCAAAGGCTGACATCTGCAGGAAACAGTGAGGACTGAGCTCAGGGCCAAAGCTAGAGGCCAGCACTACACCGCTGAGCCACATCCCTAGCCCTTTTTACCTTTACACAGGGTCTCCCTAAATTCCCCATGCTGACCTCACACTTATAACCTTTCTGCCTCAACTTCCTGAGCAGCAGGGCTTACAGGCTAAAATTCCAGACATGTGCTACAGTACCAGCCTGGTTAGTTTCATTAATCCTTGCCACAACAAAGGAGATACAACAATGGTCTTTTATGGACAGGGTTACGAGAGAAAGGCAGATAAATCTGCCCAAAATCACAATGAGAAGGTGACAGTAAACAATTTTTGACCATCTGCTATAAGCCAAGAATGGCCTGGGCTTCCAAAACTCCTGGCAAACATGACAAAGCCCCTACATGGATTTCTATGGAGAAGAGATGTAGATAGACACCTGTCAAGATTCTACAGTCCTCTATACCACCCTGCACAATGGGACACAGCAAATAGCAGCCACAAAACCAGTTTCTCTTGGGAGGCCTGAGCTGCATGGATGGAGTTGGGCCCATCACTCCAGAAAGTACAGGCACTGGGGTTGGACTGGATGGGTTTCAATTCTACCAACACCACTTACTGGCTGTAGGACTAAGTACTCGAATCAATTTTTGTGTGCCTCAGTCTTCTCATTTGGGGCCAACAATCCACCTCAAGTTGGGTGGGATTATGTACCTATTCAAAAAAAGTTGTTAACACAATAAAATGTTGATTTGCTTAGGAGAATGCTTGCTACAATACATGTCCATTAAATGTCAGATTACGCTTACTAGTATTAACACCATTATTGTTATTTTGTTAATCACTGAGAAGAAAAGAAAGGGACTCCAGGTAGCTAGAGGGAAAAGACTGGCTGATCATATACCTAGCAGTAGCCTGTGAATGCTACTGGTTTCTGTAGCTACCATTAATGTGCAGGAGGTGGGGTTAATTCTCTCCTGGGCCTGAGACATCCCTCAGGCTGCCCTCAAAACAGATTATAAATTCTGAAGGCAGGAGCTGTTTCACTCAACTTCATAAACCCAGAACTTTGTACCTAAAACTCAGCATTATATACAATAAAAGAGTTTAAACTATATTAACTAGATTTTTTAATATATCAGCATTTTTTCTTTCTTTTCTTTTTAAGGTGAGATAGGGTCTCACTATACAGTTCAGGTTGGCCTTGAACTCACTTTGTAGCCCAGGCTGGGCTCAAACTCACAGTGATCCTCCTGCCTCTGCTTCCTGAGTGCTAGGATCATGGGTCCAAGTCACCACATCTGGCTTAATTTTTCATTTTGAGACAGTTTCACTAAATCACCCAAGATGGGCTCAAACTTGCAATCCTCCTGCCTCAGCATCCTGACTTCTGGGATTACAGGTATGCACCATCACATCTGGCCCACATCAAAATATAAAGTCTTAGCTGGGGGTGGTAGCACACGCTTGTAATCCCAGCACTCAGGAGGCTAAGGTAAGAGAATCACTGCAAGTTCAAGACCAGCCTGGGCTACAAAGTGAGCTCAAGGGTAGCCTAAACTGCAGAGTGAGACCCTGTCTCAAAAAAGACAAAAACAAAAAAAAAAATCTTTCCATTAGGAGACAACTGGGAGGGGAACTTGGTCACTTCCAGCTGTCTTTAAAGACAGGCAGGGACCTAGAAAGAAGCCAAGTTCTATAGTCAGGCTTTCCAGAAGCCCAAGATGGTGGTGCGGACGCAACAACTGTCATCTCCCACACCAAAGATTAGGCCACATATCCCAGCACCAGGCCATTACATCAGGCTGGCAGGTGGCTTTACTCTGGGAGATCAACAAGCTGTGTTCCCCTGAGACATACTTATCTTTACTTCCTATTTACTGAAATACGCAGAGCTGGCAGATGTTCCCTTAATTGGCCAAAAGAATGTGATTGTGTCTGGCGTCAGAAGTGCCTCTGAATGATAGCTCGGATACAGGCTCGAGCAAGAGCCTGTGAGATTCCACAGCTAAGACATGAGACAACATCTCAGATGAGAAATGAGACTCGGAAATATGATACCTTCCTGGCAATAAAGTTGCCATCCTTGCATACAGCAAGTTATCCATTGCACCACTAACTAAAGGAACTCTGTGCCTGATGCAAAAGTGCTTTGTTTCTCCTTACAGCCATGCCTGCAGTGTCTCTCTTCCCAGCCCTCTGCCATCACATCCAGCCACCTCCCTGACTAATACCAATAAAAACCATGAACTCTTGGATTCATGACCCTTTGCTCCACAGAAAGCACTGGGTCATCCCAGAACTCAATTGCAGATTTTTCTCTTTATCTTTTCTTTTATCCATGTGCCATGACTAACACCCGCTGTGGGGGTTTAGGGACCTACCATGTGCTCCATGCAGATGCTGATCTCGCCATCACTGTAGAAGGCCCCGTAGAAGCCCACAATGTAGGGCGAGTTGCACTCGTGCAGAACCTGCAGCTCACGGATGATCTGATTGCGGATGGCTGGCTTGATCTCCAGGTGGATAAGCTGGGACAGGAAGGTGGAGGGAAGAGGGGTTAGAGAAGAAAGGGAATGTCGATGCTTCTGGAGACAGGGCCTCAGCTTCCCAGGAACAAAACCAAACACAGGGCTCGCTCCTCAGGACTCTGTGGAGCTGGGGTCTTTGGAAAAGCTGGCCTTCAGGGCTCAGCTTCCCTTCAGGCTGGAGGAGAGAGCATGCGGAACTGGGAATTGCCAGCCTCAGCTGCCCCAACAGCACCCTCATGACCTAAGGAAACTAATGTGATTAGTTAAGATTTAGCCAAAGTTTCAGCTGTCACTTTATGTCCCTCTAACAGTGTCCCTTGTGCCAACTACAAAGACAAGCAACCGACACCTTAATTGATTACCTACTAATGCTCAACTTATGAAAAGTGCCACACATCACTCACCTGGGCATAGTGCTGTGCACTTTTGACCTCAGCACTCTGGAGGCTGAGGCAGCAGGCCAGCCTGGACACAGTGAAACTCTGTCTCAAGCCCCTCCCCATTAAAAGAGGAACAGCATGCGTATCAGAGGACACGAACAGTGGTGGGTATGAGATGGAATAGCTGGAGAAAGCTGAATGAGGGAGCACAAGCACAACACAGGGACAATAACAGCCTTGGTGAGCTAGAACATGGGTCCTCCCAAGCTCTCCAGGTGGAGCAGGGTGCAAGCCGCTTTCAGAAAAGGCACAGAGAAGATAAATAAACAAATTAAAAAAGAAAGAAGAGGGGGCTGGGGATTTAGCTCAGCAGCATAAGCACCTGCCTTGCAAGCAGGCAGTCATGAGTTCAATCCCTGGTACCGATAAAAAAAGAAAAAAGAAAAAGAAAAAGAAAAGAAGGGGCACTGAGAATACAGGGAAGCAAAGTCCAGCTCAAAGAAGCTGCTTCGGGGGGGCTGGGGATTTAGCTCAGCGGCATAAGTGCCTGCCTTGCAAGCAGGCAGTCGTGAGTTCGATCCCTGGTACCGGTAAAAACCAAAAAGACAAAAAAAAAAAAAAAAAAAAGAAGCTGCTTCGGAAGGGAGGTCAGAGGAGGGACTGCAGCAGGCCACGGGAGCCACGGGTGAACCAGTCACACTGGAAAGAACTGGATAGGACAAACCAGCACCTGCTCTCCCACTCACTGAGTGCCTCGAAGCACATAGGCAGCCACAGGAGGGGCCCTGGCTGGTGTCTGCCAGGTCAGGGACAGGGATCAACACAGGCACACAATCATCAGGGTGCCTCCTGACATCTGACTTCCTCCCAGCCTGGCCCCAGGCCACTGTTTATCCAGGTAGCCTCACCTTTCGGGCCATGACCAGGCCAGATGGCTTGTGGGAGACCTTGAACACCACACCGCCATTGCCGGCACCCAGCTCACTGATCTTCTCAAAGTCATCGTCCTTCAGCTCGCCCACCTTCTGCTTCTGTGTCAGGAAAGCTTCGAGGCGCTTCCGCTGCTGCTCATCCAGCTCCAGCTCCTCCAGCTTCTTCTGCAAAGCCTCTAGGTTGGTCCTGTGCAAGGGGGCGAGGCGACACGATCACTGGAGTCACCCGTTGAGAGCTCTTGTCCTGGGGGCCCCTTCACCCAGCGTCCCCCTCTAGTCTTACTTCCTCACTTGTAAGACAGGGTGCTAGGCTCTCAGTATATTGCAAGCCTCCAGGAGAAACTGAAGAATTTGAGTTTCCACTAAATTTGAGACTGAGCCATTTTATGGTACTTCAAAGACTCAGTCAAAAAGCCCATTAATGTTGATTTCATGACATTTATACATACACACACACAAAAAAACTCCCTAAATTTTCTCAGTTGAAATCAAGCCCACTTAAAACTGAGTCACAAAGGTAGCAACCTTTAGTTCTAGCGTGATCAGTCAGGACAACCAAGAGTCAGGACAAACTGTCATAAAAACGGTGTCTGTACAATTATTCTGGCCTAACTCCAATCAGCCCGCACTCATGTGCTTATTCCCTACCATGGGGCAAGGCCCTTGGATGAACGTCCACTGTAAGAGTGCCGCATCACCCACCAGCAGCAATGCCCAGCATTTCCTGCAATGAAGCAAAAATGGAGCCACCTGCCGTGCAGTCATGAAGTAAACCTCAGTCTTACATTCCCCCATCCTACTGCTCACCTAACTGGACGGTAGCACATCTCAGTGACCTGGCCTTACTGAGTCTTCCAGAGCTTTTACCTGTGTGTAAAAGTAAGAGGAAAAGGAGACTGGGGATGCAGCTCCATGGCAGAGCACTTCCCCAGCACAGGCAGGGAAGGCGCTGGGCTTGATTCCAGCCCCAGAGAGAAGAAAGGAAAAGAGACAATCACTTCATCTGTACTCATTTTCCTCAGCTCATAGGTATTAAATGCACTACTGGCCACAATGCCAGCTCGCACAGTCTGAATGGCTCTCACACACACAGCTCGCCAGGGGGTGCTGCGGTGACGAGCACACACCTGGCCGGGCCACGTGGGCACACCAGGCATTGTTCAGTATACTGGACAACTGAAGAGAAAAGAAGCTGTTCCATCTGATTTCACACTAGTCCAGTGTGTCATGGCAATGGAGGGGACAAGACAGCCCCTGTTACACTGCAGAATGTATGCACATCAGTACATGTACATGGCAGCTCTGAGCTTGGAGGCAGAAGTAAGCAAAGCCTTCCATGTTCCCCTCATACCACTGCCAGGCTCAATTCGGGCACAACTCTCCCAGCACCCATCCAACATGTCTGCCAGCAGAGCCCCTATTCTCAGCAGGCTCGGCTCAGCACCAGGGCTGTCCTTGGCAAACATAGGACATCATAAAAGACATAAGACAGAGTACAGAACCTTCCAGCATCAGGACACCTGAAGACACCCAAACATTCACAGCAGATGCCCTGAGCGAGGACTGTGAACATTGAGATACCAGAGAATTCTGATCACAGATGTCTGCCAAGACCTCTTCATTGGGGTCCTCTGCCTGATCTGCCCACTTAACTTCCTTTGTCCAAGCCCTAGAGAAGGCTCCGCTCTTCCTGCACCATAAAGATGGCCTTTTTGCCCTCTGCCTGCCTGCACCCAGGCACAACACCTGCCACGCACTATTGCCTTTACACAGGCCGGGTAGTCTCAGCTGCCTCGCGCTGTTCCTTACGACCACAATCCAGTCCAAGGAGGCAGGGAAAATGACCTCACACGCCTCCCCTTCCAGGCACCAGGCTGCTGTCGCTGCCTGTCTCCCAGGTAACTCAGAGGAAGAAGCACAGAGCCGTGGACTAAATTCTGCCTGTCCCCAAATTTACTAGTGAAAGTCTGAACACTGTGACTGTCTAGGAAAGGACCAGCAGGTAATTAAGGTTAAATAAGGTCAAAAGGTAGAGTCCTGGGGCTGGGGATTTAGCTCAGCGGCATAAGCACCTGCCTTGGAAGCAGGCGGTCCTGAGTTCAATCCCCAGTACCAATTAAAAAAAAAAAAAAAGGTAGAGTCCTACTCAGACAGGACTGGCACCCTGTAAGTAGAAGGTGGGCAGGGCACACGTGGAGGAGGAGCACATAAGCATAAAGCCAAAGGCAGCCATCTACAAGCCAGGAAGAGGCCCTCGAATCTCCTGTGCCAACACCCCAACTTCAGCTTTCAGCCTCCGAACTGCAAAACCCAGCATGTGCTGAATACCCACCACAGCCTAAGTCTCAGTGCCCCCGGTTCCTCAGTGGAAGGTCCAAGTTCAGGTGGCTGGGAGGCACAATGGGCACCTCTGGGTTCTCTCCACAGGGGCCAGCTAAGGGCCACATTCAGAGCCATGCATCACACACAGACAGAGCTATGGCTCTGACTTGGATGAAGTCACTGCTGCATGGAAAGGCCTGAGGCCAGCTAGAAATGCAGGATCCAAAAGTGAGTTCAAAAATACATGCAGGGTACAGGCAGAGGACAGGAGGGAGTACTGGCCGGAAGGCAACTGTGCACTCTCCAGAGTAACCTAAACTCACTAACACTCACTGCACAACCTGAGGACGACAGGAAGACAGAGTACTTGGAAACTAGGCAGGGTAAACTACCCAAGAGCTGGTCCAAGGTACACCTGCATCCAGCTGGGGAAAGAGAGCCCTAACCTGACACAAGGCTGCACTGTACTGCGTCTGCAAAGCCTGGGTAGCACACAGGGGCCATGGCACACGCCTACAAGCCCGGCAAAGGCTGGGACAGGAGCACTGAGTTTAAGAGCAGCCAAGGGCCACACAGCAAGGTCAAGGCCAGCCTGAGCTACACTTTAAAAAAGTTCAATGCTTCCACTGAGGCATCTTAGTAACAAAGCCAAGAATCCTAGCTGCAGCATTTAATACCCTGGGACTCCATCACACAGGAGGACATGTGCCCTGCACACGGGGACTCCCTGACAAGTGACCCTGTCACCCAGCTCCTGACCAGATAATGGCATGACAGAAGCCACTGGAAACTCGCTCTGCTTGGTGAGGTGAAGGTAGTGCTGACTGCTCACTTCCCTGGCTTGATTGAAGCTGTTCCTGCACCTTTAGAAAGAAAATGAAGCCTGAGCTCTATGTCCACTTCGTTCCTTCTCCAACTCCTGTTTCGGCCATCTGATCGCTTACTGACCACTCAGGAGGTAACCGGGAAGCCCAACCAGACAGTGTACCAAGCCAAGGTACAGAGACTTCCTCCACAAAGCAGTAAGACTGAACATTGCACTGGGATAGTGTCACCAAGTTTGTAAGTCACTAGTTCTCAGGAGTCCTGGATTCTCCTTCACCCAAACTCCTTAGACAGTGACAGCTTTGCAGATCTGAACCCAAGGCCTTCACAATGAGCTAAGTCCCCAGCCAACCCTTTCTATTTTTTATTTTGAGACAGAGTCATGCTAAGACATCCAGGTGGAACTCAAACTTGTCATCTTCCTGGCTCAGTCTCCCAATGTGTTGGGATTACAGACATGTGACATCATGCTGGGTAGGAACAGTGAGTGAAATTTTGATGCATTTCTATTGTAGTGTTCCCGTGAGGAGTGGAGAGAAGGAACTAAGGAGAGAGGAGGAAAAGCCAACACAGCAATAGCAGGAGCTAGGTATGATGGTATATGCCTGTAATTCTGGCACTTGGGAAGCTGAGGCAGGAGGATCCTTATGAGTTTGAGTCCAATCTGGGCTACAAAGTGAGCTCAAGGCCAGCGTTTAAATTGAGAAGCAGCACAGCCAGGCACCGCCACCACCCCCCACCCCAGCACTCTAAGAGCCTGAGGCAAGAGGATCATAAGTGATTCTCAAGCTCACTGACTTATCAAGACCCTGTCTCAAAATAGTCAGAAAAATGGGCTGGAAATGGATGGGCAGCATCCATTTCCGTGCTTGTGACACGAAGCACGGAAGGGGACCTTACATCCCAGGCAGCAGGGCATGGTGACTCACCTACGCCCATCTCCAGGGTCTCCCGCCTGCTGCGTATCCTACAGACTGCAGACTTCAGGCCTCCACCCCTCTGAGAGCCAATACCCTGAAAGCACTATCCGTTTTGCCCTCCAGCAGTCCCCAGGGCCCCTGTTTCTTAGGAGAACCTGAGTAATCTAGGCTAGGGGGGAATCCTTGAGCCCTGGCCATGCCCCGTTCTCAATCTGAACGCCAGCTACGAGTCCCAGATTTGAAAATATATCTCACTGTGAGTTTATAACCCACAGTGCACCTGGACCTGCTCCTGAGCCAGAGCCACAGCCACAGCCACAGCCAGAGACTGAATCCCAGGCTCTACCCACCTCAACCAGGCTTGGGACGTTTTAAAGGCCTCAGCCTTGGGGAGAGAGTGGCTATCACATCATGGAGCTGCTAGGGTGTTAAAGGAGCTCATAACAGCAGAGTTTGGCTCACAGTAGGTCTCAATAAATGCGAGCTAATCAAATTTTGGTGGGTACTGGGGATCGAACTCACAATCTCAAACTTGCCGGGCAAGCAGCTTGTGCCAGAGATAAATCCCTGGCTCAAATATTCTTATTAACCAACTACCCAGTACAGCATAACAAGTATCTTCCTAGCATTCAATAATTCCCCCCCCCCTTTTTTTTTTTTTTTTTTTTTGGACTGGGGATTGAACCCAGGGCCTTCACACTGAGCTACATCTTGTTCCATTTCCATTTACACATTTATTTATTGATTCATTCTGAAACAGGATCTTACCGATTTAGTTAGGTTGCCAGAATGGGCTCTAACGATGCTTTTCCCTCAGCTCCCCAGAATGCTGACTGTGCTGAATGTTGAGATTACAGGTGCCTGGCTACAGTTAACTCTTATTTACTCTCTACAATCATTTTTTATTTACCCTCACAAATTGTTTATCCGGACATGGTGGGGTACTCTGGTAATCCCCGACTCAGGAGGCTGAAGCAGGAGGATCACTGCACATTCAAAACCAGCCTGGGCTACAAGCTCAAGGCTAGCGTGAACTGCATAGTGAGACTCTGTCTCAAAAAAACCAAAGAAAAAAAAACTTTAAAAATTGCTATAAGCTGCCTATATTCCCTTTACTGTT